GCAGTGTGATGGATGGACACATCACCTGTGAGTGGCCCCGGCTCCTGTGTTGAGTGGCTCCCTGCAGCAGGCAGTCTGTGTGTTTCTCGGAGTTTTCTGTATCCCTCTCCACTCAGCACACAGTCCTCCCTCCTCCAGCCACTCCTGTTACTGTGTATCCAGATTACAACACAAATAATAGAGATCCCTCCTCCCCAGGAGCAGCCATCCCAGGACATGGCACCTCTGTCCAGCCTCAGTACTGTCCCCTCTCTATCTCTCTATGTTCCCTCCATTGTCTCCTCATTTGGTCCTTGCTTCCTTTCCCTGGACTGTCTTCATTGTTTCACTGCTTCTCAGTACTCTCCCCTCACCCCTAGAATATCTGGCCATTTACACGGGGTGTTTAGTGAATCCTGTTTGAAGGTCGGCAAATTCAAACAAAGCAGCAAGTCCCGCTGTACTGTTTTTGGGGGGACCCCACATTTTTTACATTTTGGTGTGGGGGTTCCCACACCAGACCTGAAGGGCTTGGTATGGATTGGGGGGACCCCACGCCATTTTTTTGCTAAATTTTTAATTGCCGGCAATTCTTTTTACATTCAGCTGTCAGTGGGGAACCCCGCTGACAACGGGAGCATGAACACATGGTTGTCACTACTATTTTAGTAGTGTTTTTTAGTGAATGCCAACTTTTTTGGGGAAAAATGCTGTGCGGTATCTTACCACATACTCATATGCGATAAGATACTGCTTAGTGAATTTTCCCCTGGGTTCGAAGTTTGCAGTCGAACTTTTGTTTGTTCGACTGCAAACTGAACCAGGGGGTGTTCAGCCCATCACTATCTGATTCGACAGCCGGAGTAATTTTTGCCACGTTCTGATGAGTCGCAGCATGTGTACACCACCGTCTGCAGCCTTTGCAGCTTAAGAAAGGCACTTGGAAAACAATAAAAACACAGTTCAACTGCTTGCTTTTACTGCCCCCCAACCTCAAGTGTAAACAAAGCCATAGCATTAATCTTTATATTATAAATTAAAAATTAATAGCAGTATGCACATTTCATGTGCATTATTGCTCAGAGTTTAGGTAGCAATTTCTGTGAACTGACAGCTCATATGACATTGTGCACAGCCATCCAAAGCAGTGTGCACAAGCTGAGAGGGAGGAGAACTGTATTGTTTACATACAGTTCTCCTCCCTATCGGAGATGCTTGGCAATCACTGGGTGCCGGTGAGTAATCACCAGCCAGGACCTGGTGATTGACAGCCATGGCCGCGCCTCGTGCGCGCCCCTACCCGGAAATGCAAAATCACATATATATACATCATTTTGTGCACCCGTGCTGCCCTGTAGCAGTATATCTGCTATAGGGTGGTCTGGAAGCGGTTAAGGATTCTTGGAAGTTATGGAAGTCAAACGTCAGCAATGAAGTGCAATTAAACCGTGTGTCCCCATAGCAAGAAACTTTTTATGGGGGCACTCACCAATGTGGAGGAGCCAGGAGCACTGACGGGGACCCCAAAAAAGGAGGATCGGGGCTGCTCTCTGCAAAACCATTACACAGAACAGGTAAGTATGACATGTTTATTATTTAAAAAAGAATGTTAAAGCGATACTAAAGATTAAATTTTATTTTTTTTGTAAAATAACAAACATGGAAGTCAAACCTCAGCAATGAAGTAAAATTAAATCGAGTGCCCCCATAGCAAGCAGCTTTTTTATGGGGGCACTCACCAAAGAGGAGGAGCCAGGAGCACTGACGGGGGACCCCAGAAAAGGAGGATCGGAGCTCCTCTGTGCAAAACCATTACACAGAACAGGTAAGAATGACATGTTTATTATTTAAAAAAGAATGTTAAAGCGATACTAAAGGTTCTTTTTCTTTAACAAACAACAACAAATAACAAACATGGAAGTCAAACCTCAGCAATGAAGTGAAATTAGAGTCTGTCCTGTCTATAAGGTCATAGAAAATATCTTATGGTTTCTGAATGGGGCTTTAAAAGTTTGGAGTACAGGTTTTCTTTAGGCTCCATGTACACGGGACGTTTGGAAAACTCTTCTGAACGATGGAAACTGCTGGAAAACGTAGGTTAAAAAACATTTGTTTAGCCACGTTTGCATACACGTTTATGAGCGTTTACATTTAGAAGCATTTTTTAAAGATAACCTCAGGAGACCTTCCCAAATGCCCAGAATGCACTGAAAAAAAAAACAGTAAAAAATTAACTATTTCAGACATTTTGAGAGAAATAGAGAGATCAGAAGCAGAGAGAGCAGTATGTGTCAAGATGACCTGTCTTTTCTGGTTGTATTCACTATGGATCCCATCATAAGAATAATGCAGCATGTTCTACCACATTTTCCTTCACGCGAAACCTGGAACTGACTGCGCTGGTTTACCGGGTCCATCTGAATACATGGAAAATGCTTTGCATGCATTTCTGATGATGGAAAAAGGCTCTGGACAGCATCTGGACATGGAACAGTTAAAAAACGCTTCTAAACGCAGTTAATCGTGTTTACACGCGTTTGGAATGCTGATAAAAATCTAATCCTAAACGCAAGTTTGGTGCTTTCAAAAAAACAACTGTAAACTCAACATCCTGTAAACGACGATGTATACATGGACACATAGGAAAACATTAGGGAGAGTTCAGGGGCTGCTGAAAAACGCAGAAAAGCTCCTGAACGTGAGTTTATCAGCTGCAGTGTACATGAGCCCTTAGGCTGTACAAACAATTGGTGTAGCGCTCTCTAACACAAACCGTGATAAAAATCTCCAACGGAGAATTATAATGTGCCAAATAGTGTAACAAACAGTGTAAACAAACAACTCAATGGTAAATACTAAATGAAAACACAAAAATTGATGACCACAGTACAATATTACATATATAGCGCGAAACACTTCTGTGCCCCCAACGCTGGGAGATATAACCTACACAAAGAGTGACAAAATAGTGCTCCGTGTCCACACACTCATATCAAAATACCAATGCCCCTGGTACCTTTTTCATAGGCTTTTTTGAGTTTGGGAAAGGACACAGGGGCCCCATGATCCCCTATTGCCCAGGGGCCCCATGAGTTGTCAGTCCACCCCTGGATACAACCATCAACACTCACATTGTTGATCATCTTGCACATAGCCTTTAGAACCTCATGTATGGGTGTACTTGCATGGGTTCGTCTGAGAGTCCAAAGATGGCATCCGCGCCGGAAGTGACGTCAGTAAGGAGCCAATCTAGCTGTGTGTGGAGCCATCACCAGAAGCCACAATGCACAAGAATCACCTGCATGTTTTTACTTATTGCTGTGGACACTGGTGTCACATATCATTATATATATATATCCATATATTAATTTTTTGATTGATTTTTTATTGGTATTTTGATATGAGTGTGTGGACACGGAGCACTATTTTGTCATTTTTTGTGTAGGTTATATCTCCCAGCGTTGGGGGCACAGAAGTGTTTCTCACTATATATGTAATATTGTGCTGTGGTCATCAATTTTTGTGTTTTCATTTAGTATTTACCATTTTGAGTTGTTTGTTTACACTGTTTGTTCCACTATTTGACACATTATAATTCTCTGTTGGAGATTTTTTATCACGGTTTGTGTTAGAGAGCGCTACACCAATTGTTTGTATTCCTTGGTTTTCACTTTAGGTATTAAGGTGCAGGTGTCAGCAGCTCATATAGGGTTATTAGGTTTGAGTACAGAAGGTTTTCCCTTACATTTAGCCCTTAGGTTGTGCTGTCAGTCATCACATCCCAGTGAAGGTTTGGGAACATCCTGCACATAATATGTGAGGGTGTCAGGCTCTGCCCTGCAAGTATGGCCATGTGAGTGTTATCAAATAAGAAAGTGCAGCACTTAAAATAACATATGAGATAGTCCACATAGAGTGTAATATATTAAATGCCAACTAAACGGTATTAGTCCATAAGTGACAATCTGTGCAGGTATAAGGTGAATAGCAGCAATGCTTCAGTGCTGGTGCTCCAGAATAGTGGGGTAAGAATACGCACTCACCAGATGCGTAATGTTAATACGCATTAGATCAATCAGTGGAGGCCCCCTTTAGGAGTCAGATATAAGCCAGGCCAAGGATAATCCTCCCTCTGGATAATGGTGGTGCATCAGAAACTCCCAGGTGGTAAAGGATCCCGTCAGCCAGAGGTCCCCTTTAAGGGATGGGTGAGTGTAGAAGCCTGTGAGACAGGAACTCCCTCCTCTGGATACTGTGGTGGATCGGGTGGGCTCTATAAATTAATTGCTCCACATAGGCAGACATAAAAAGTGCCCATAGTGTAGTAGGTATTGTAAAAAATGATTTATTCCAGAATTTGCAAATTCGATGTAAAATGACACAAGGTTTAAAAACGGCCTGACCGTCCATAAGCAAGATGGCCGCCTGACCTTCACGTGGCTCCGGCGGCGTGACGTCACAGCGTATTGGCTCCTACTTACGCATTTCGTTCGCACGCACGTCTTCAGAGGGGATGCCAGTACTGCTATGATGCGCGCCAACTGAATTTATAGGTAAAATGGCGCATGCGCATTACGGCAGCACCATTTTGTTGAAGATGGAAAATATAACAAGTGTGTGCGGGCATGCGCTGCGCCTTTTGCCATGGATTTCGAAAAAGCAGGTAAAGTGTAAACACATGAAAGTGCACAAACCACCAAAAAAAACACAATGCAATTTTTTTAGACAATGACAGCCAACCCACATTATGTGTTTTTTGCACCCACATGCATGTAGTCTTGGTACGAATGAAACCTTCATGCGGCTGATGCTCAGTGTACATGTAAAAAAGTCCAAAGAACTAACTTGATTTGCTACACAGCGGCCAGGCGCAGTCATTGCGCAGTCACCATACATTATAGTTACAGCACAGGAAAGAAATGACTCTTCTAAGGGTTCAGCACAGTCTGGCCATTCTTTCGGCATGTAAAGGGTTAGCATGAGAGGAGAAAGCGCCTCCCTCTCCATTGCAGCCTGCAAGTACACATGCTCAGCATGGCGACTTCCCCGCCTGTTACAGGAAGACAACATACACTCCACCAACAATGGAAGCCGGTCAATGGTCCCCTCTTTGTACCCTGAACTACGCCAGCCAGAGATACCTGTGCCACTGCAAAGCCCCAACCCAGGGTAACAGGACCCTACAGATCCAGTGAGTAACATTTAAACATTTAAAGGAACTGTACACCAAGAACTAACTAAAGCTGGCCATAGATGAGTCAGTTTTCTCATTCAACCAGCAGGTCGAAAGAAAAAAAGTGACCTGATTTCCCCCCATCCACGGTAGACGGGGGGGAATCCTCTTGCTGTGTCATTGTATTCTGACAGTGGGGAGGCTTCCCCCCTCCATCAGAGCTGCAGTCTATAGTCTGTAGTGATGATCAAGAGAACCTTTTCCAGCAGGGCAGTTGTAAAGTTGTTGATTGATAGATCGACATCTGTACAAACCACAGTGCCCATACGACGATCAAAATTCAGCCGGTCCCTACTGACCCAGCCAAATTTCGATCCATCCATCAATGGGCAGCTTAAGTCTGGCCAAACACAATTAGGTTGGCCATACATGGATCGATTTCCGAACGATTTTTTGTTCGAAAAATCGGACGTAAGAATAATTGGATGAGTTTCGCTCTGTTAATGGGGCAATGGCATCGGCCGATATTCGTGGTTCCTCCCCATTTTGTTTATCGGGCATGCTGAAAAATTTGGGAAAAAAACGACCGAATTTCGAAATCATTGGTGGCACCATCGGATTACAGAACGAGAGATGTTTTCGATCGAAAAAATTGTTTGGAATTCGACCCATGTGTGACCTGCTTTAGTTTTTCTTTTTTTAAACAATTTCCTTTAATCACACAAACGAGGTGCATTGGGGAATCATTTCCACAGCATGTTGTATTCCAACAGTGTGACCCGTCAATGATTGGCTGCAGCTGTTGATCGATGGAAAATTAGTTGACATGTTCCTTTGACAGAAATTGGTTAACCACTTCAATAAATACCGGGCTTTTATACCCTCTTCCTGTCCAGGCCAACTTTCAGCGCTGTCGCACTTTGAATGACAATTGTGCGGTCATGCAACACTGTTCCCATATGACAGTTTTATTTTTTTCGCACAAATAGAGCTTTCTTTTGGTGGTACTTAATCACCACTAAGTTTTTTTATTTTTTGCTAAATAAAACAAAAACACCTGAAACTTTTGAAAAAAAATTTACTTTTCTTTGTTTCTGTTATAAAATTTTGCAAATAAATAACATTTCTTCATACATTTAGGTCAAAATGTATTCTGCTACATTTCTTTGAAATAATAATAATAATAATTGCATTTTTATTTTTTTCAAAATGTTTCTAATTTTTTAAATATTTTTATTAAATGTTTTCTATTTTATTTTTATTTTTCAGCACACTGTGACCAAAGCAATACAATGTTACGATAGTAACAATGAACTACTCTGGACAAGTGATCAGGATGTTTTTTCTTTTTTATATCACATTATGATTGCTAATACCAATGTATTTAATTGATATTTGCAATCATTGTTACTGAATGAAACTGATTCATTCAGTCTTTTGTTTTGATAAGCTGTGATTGGGCAAAGCTGATCACATGATACAGATGGGATGGGTGTTTTACTTTTTGCGCTATAAACAAAAAAAGAGCAAAAAAAAAAAAAAAAAAAGTTTCTTTGTTTCTATTATAAAATTTTGCAAACAGGCCATTTTTCTCCTTCACTGATGTGCGTTGATGAGGCGGCACTGATGATGGGTACTGATAGTCGTCACTGCTGGGCAGCACTGACTGGCGGCACTGCTGGGCACTGCTGGGCACAGGTGGGTGGCACTGCTGGACATGGATCATCAGGGCACTGATCATCAGTGCCCTGATGATCGGTGCCGATCTCTGCTCTGACAATTGACAGTTCTCGGCAGTACATTCCTCATGCTCTGACAGTATGAGGAAAGTGCAGCCAAGAACCGTCAATTGCATTTCCCGGTGATCAGCGTGTCATTGGACACGGCTGATCACGTGGTAAAAGGCCGCTGTGATTGGCCTTTTTACCACATCACATGATCAGTTGTGTCCGTAGGACACTGCGATCATGGAGATCGCCGGGTGTGCGCCCCCTGCGGGCGCACAGGAGACTGCGTTCTGGGAGGCCGTCCGTCATATGACGGCCTCCCAGAACTGGCTGGCCGCAGTGCAGCTGGCATTCGGCTACCTGCGGTCGGCAACTAGATAAACTCACTTAGTGCCTTATCTGCATTAAATTTGCCTCAGAACCCATGTAATTAATGTGTTCAGGATTAAAGGGATGAGGTGGCAACCCTAGACTACACACTTGACATTCAGCTGTTCCCTGCTGGACTGGCTGAATTTCGATCAGCGTATGGCCAGCTTTAGGACATTTATGTTAAGATCTGCTTATCACACTCACAAAAAATGTACATATGAAAGTGTTCTTTCTTTCAGAAAAAATAAAATATGTAACAGAGAGATTTGTACCTTACATTTGGTGGGATTTTTAAGGCAACCTTAGAATATATAAACCAAACAATTTTTTAAAAGAAGATTTGACATTTTATTTAACACATCAATACATATTTCCCCAATAGAATATAACAATTCTTATCAACATACTTGACAATATTAGTAATTATTGGATTGGAAAATTAGCGGTGTTTCTTGAAGCTGATTTTCATCTTGCAACCTCAATTGAGGGAACTACAAGTGCATTCAGCCTATATCCAATGCGTTTCGAATAATTTAGTGCAGATTCAGATTGCAGATTGAGGTGTCAAATAAAATGTCAAATCTTCTTTTAAAAAATTGTTTGGTTTATATATTCTAAGGTTGCCTTAAAAATCCCACCAAGTGTAAGGTACAAATCTCTCTGTTAGAAAAATTGGGATGATGGCAACCACACCCTAGGTAACACCGGATGACTCTTTTATTCAAAATATAGCATGTGACATTAAGTACAGCTTTTCATGTAAAACTAGCTGATTTTTTTCTTTTAAGGAAATTTATCCTACTTTAAAGGACACTGGTATAGGAATGAAATATGGTTGCCACCATTGGTCTTTAAAGGTGGGCATTCCAGGGTGTCTCAGGAACCTGTCTTGTATGCTTGTTCCAGGCCAACAATTCACTAGGTAGTAAAGCAGGAATCAGGATGAGAACTTCTTTAACCACCTTCCGCCCGCCATATAGTACAATGACAGGCGCAAGGTGGTTCTCTCGTTCTGATAGGACGTCATATGACGTCCTTCCATTCTCACTGAAGATGTCGGCTCGGTCATGTGATCAGCTGTGTCCAATCACAGCTGATCACATGTAAACAAGGAAATGCCGGTTATCGGCATTTCTCTCCTCTGGAGCTGTCACGCTGACAGCTCGAGAGGTGAGGAGAGCTGGTAATCGGTTTTCCGCGGAGGGAACATGTACACTGATCATCAGGGCACTGATGATCAGTGTGCCCTGATGATCAGTGTGGCCCCAGAAGTGCCACCTGTCAGTGTCCATCAGTGCCAGCAGTCAGTGCTCATCAGTGCCACATGCCAGCGCACATCAATGCCACATATCAGTGCCCATCTGAGCTGCCTTTCAATGTCACCCATCAGTGCCACCTATCAGTGCTACCAATCAGTGCCAGTCAGTGTCGCCTATCAGTGCGTGTCAGTGCTGCCTAAAAGTGCCAGTCAGTGCTGCCTAACAGTGCCGCCTATCAGTGACATATATCAATGTCATGTATCAATGCTGCCTTTCAGTGCCCATCAGTGATACCTGTCAATGCCCATCGGTGCAACCTACCAGTGCCTGTCCATCAGTCAGTGTCCATCAGTGCCCATCACTGCAGCCTCATTAGCGCACATCGGTGAAGGAGAAAAATCACTTATTTGCAAAATTGTATAACAAAAACTAAGAAAATAAATTTTTTTTTTTTCAAAATTTTCAGTGGTTTTTGGTTTAAGAAAAAATAAAAATCCCAGAGGTGATTAAATACCACCAAAAGAAAGCTCTATCTGTCTCAAAAAAAATATAAAGATTTCATATGGGTACAGTGTTGCATGATCGCGCAATTGTCATTCAAAGTGTGACAGCGCTGAGAGCTGGAAATTGGCCTGGGCAGGAAGGGGGTATAAGTGCTCTGTAGGCTAGTGGTTAAAGACAAACTCAGCAGTTGTCCCCCTCTGGTTTATATTACAGTCTGTGCTTCCAATGTGGCGATCCTCTTACTGTATGGTCACCAAGTTTGGAAGAGAGGAGAAAACTCCACAATAGGCACACACACAGTAATAAAATATGAAAGGAGCTAGAACCCTTCCCAACTCCACTAAAAAGGAAAAAAAAGGTATTGGCTGAAGTTGGGTTTTACATTTTGTCTTTACAGCACTTTCTCCTTTTTTTTTTTTACATTTTTTTAGTGTGACAAATGGGAATGAAGTATGGAGGTCGGAGGCCACAGAGGAAACACTAGAGGAGTGGGTAAGTGATCCTAGTAGCTGGTAACCATCTTCTCTACTGCCTTTGCTATTGAGTGCAGCAACTACTAAATATACAGTAGGCAGCACAGTGGATAAACGGCACCACCTGCCTAGAGTTTGCATAGTCTCCCTGTGCCTGCGTGGGTTTCCTTCAGGAACTCTGGTTTCCTCCCACACTACAAAGACATGCTGGTAGGTCAATTTAGACAGGATGATGTCATCACTTGGACTGGGTTTCCAAGATGGCGTGCATTCGGAGCATACTCACTCAGGACCTCCATCACTTGACATGCCTACCTGTTCTCTACCTATGAGAGTGCAATTTTACCATTAAATCTGCCTGATTTTAACCGTCTACACTTAGAGTGGCGCTGCTGTCTCTCTTCTCTACCTGCATTAGGAGTATCTACAAGCTCTTACAGCTGCTTCCTCGGATAAGTCCATACTACTATAAGCCCCCCACTACAGATGGACTTGGACACCACCTCCACATGGACCTTCTACTAACCCCTATTGCTGATGGTCCATCCTCAAATGCACACAGGGTAGATGTGTCTTAGCGCTCCCTCCCCCCCCCCCCATTCACCTCTGAATGTACTTTGTAAAATGCCTTTCACCTGGCTGTGGGGTATTGTTCATAAATATATACATACCAGTTTAGTGGTAAACACTCATAATCTATTGATACGGATTCACATAAATGGCAGTTGGAACAGGATTGGACACACAACAGGCAAGTTAGTGTACAGTCTGCTAAACAAGGTGGAAACTGTACCCAAGTAATAGGAGGAAAGCAAAATCTATCTATATCACTAACCAGAAAATATACATTTGTAAAGCAGCAACAAACCATACAACTGAACTTTACACTTTTACAATGGTAGCAGCTCTATACTGATTTTGAGTGCACTCAAATGAGCGGACAAGGGTCTGGTACCACTTTAACCACTTCAAGTCCGGACACTTTCACCCCCTTCCTGTTCAGGCCAATTTTCAGCTTTCAGCTCTATCACACTTTGAATGACAATTGCGCAGTCATGCAACACTGTACCCATATGAATTTTTTTAGCATTTCTTTGAGACAGATAAAACTTTATTTTGGGGGTATTTATTCAACACTGGGATTTTTATTTTTTGCTATATAAATTAAAAAGTCCAAACATTTTGAAAAAAAAAAGTGTTTTTCTAATAAAATTTTGCGAATAAATAATCTTTCTTCATAAATCTTGGCCAAAATGTATTCGGCTGTCTTTTTATAACCCAAATTAGTTTATAACCAAAAATTATGATTTTTTTTTTACATTTTCTTTATTTTTTTTACGGTCACTTTTTTATTTTTTAACATTGCACTACTTGTGGGGGGCGATGCTTTTTTTTTTTTTTTTTTTTTTCTTTTTTTACACTGATAAAGGCTGTAAAAAGCAATAATTTCTCCTTCTCTCTGTCTACGTTCTTACAGTCATTGAGAAATACTGTGAGAGCTATTATTTGTCACATGGTACAAGCCTTGCACCATGTGACATCTGTGATCATTCACAGATTTCACTAGTAGTAAGCAATGATGTCAGGAAGTGACATCTTGCTTACTATTATTCATGTGATCACTGATTGGCCAATCAGAGATCACATGAATCTGGACTTCACACAGAGGTCTCGTACAGCGATTGGTGTTCCGCTATGGGCATCGGATAGCGGTGCACATCTCCCCGCGCACTCCCAGGGAGCGCGCACTCCCAGGGAGCGCGCACAGGCAGTTAATGCGGGGACCATTTATAAATGGCACTGCTCTGTCCGGCCATTTATGTACATGGGCTGGACAGGAAGTGGTTAACTAGCAAACAGGCTAGGGCCTTGGGGCAGTCTATAGTCCTAAGTCTTCGTTGGCTAAACGTTGCACCTTGTTGGCGCGCGTTTCAGCTGTCAATATGGCCTGCAGACAGTATTATAGCTATACGATAGCAGGTTAGGCAGTTCATAATGGCTCAGTCTATAGCAGTGGTAGCAAGTAATGAGCCCTCTCAACAGACCCAGTGACACAGCAATAATGATCCCTACAGCTGGACGTTCGCTCGCTCAGGGTTGCCCTGGGCAAATTTTGGTCCCTAGTGCAGCATGTCTGTACTCCAGTTGTGGCTCAGTCCCTCTCTGGTTGGTGGCACTGGACAGGGTTTTTCTCCCTCTCTGGAGTCCCCCAGCACAGTTGTCTCCTCACTATGTCCCCTGTAGTCCTCAGCAGCGTGGTTTTTTTTTCTCCTCCCCAGGCTCCTTGCTCTCTACTCTTACTGCACAGCCTGTTGGATCCTGTAGTTTGCCCCATTCTGTTCCATCCTGTCAATGGGTCTACATGTCCCATAATGCACTTGTCCTCCTCTTCCCATTCTGACTGGTCCCTTGACAGGAGCGGGGAGGGGGGTATGTAACAGAACAGGTGCTGACCAGGGATTATACAAATCCGCTCCTGTGACACTCTCCCATGCTGCAGCCCACAGCTGTCCTCTCCCCTATTACAGCGCCTGCACTGGCCCGGCAGGAAAAGCAAGCGTGGGGGGGGGGGGGGGGGGGATCGGCTGCACCCACTATGTGTGATTATTTTAATAACCAATAAGGGTAGAAAGTGGTCTTGGAGGCTGTTAGAAATTCTGTATATTGCCCTACAGAACAGCCTGTGCACAGCCCACATGTGCTTTTTGCTTTACTGCAACCAGGAAACAGGAAACTATTCAGTGAACAGACATAGAGTATATATAATAGATGCAGCTACAAACTCACAAACACTGCCATCTACTGGATACTGATGTAGTTGTCGCACAAAATGAATAAACACTGTATTCCAACAGAGGTAAAGTGATGTGGCCTGCCTCGCCGCTGGCTATCCCCGCTTCAGTCGATCCTGAATACGGCTGCCAGACTCATTCACCTTTCCAACCGCTCCATTTCCGCCACCCCCCTCTGCCAATCCCTCCACTGGCTTCCGATTGCGCAACAGATCAAATTCAAAATCTAACACTGACGTACAAAGCTGTCCACCACACTGCCCCGAACTACATCACTGACCTAATATCCAAGTACCACCCACCACGCACACTCCGCTCCTCACAAGACCTCCTTCTCTCTAGTTCCCTGGTCTCCTCCTCCCATGCCCGCCTCCAGGACTTCTCCAGGGTGTCACCCATCCTCTGGAACTCCCTGCCCCAACCCATCAGATTATCACCTACTCTTCTCTTCTTTAGGTGCCCCCTTATAACCCATCTCTTCAGGGAAGCCTACCCTACCCCCTGCTAACTTGACCGACCTCCTCCACTCTTCCTACCACTCCATCCCCCACAGCTATCTCCTCCTGTGCCACCATCCCCTCCCTCCTAGATTGTAAGCTCGAAAGAGCAGGGCCCTCAATCCCCTCATGTTTTGCATTGTATTGGTATTGTTCTGTCACATGTTCTGTCCCCCTTTGTAATGTACAGCGCTGAGCGAACTATTGGCGCTTTATAAATACTGTATAATAATAATAATAATGTGGTTCACTTTATTAGCAGAACTACTTTTCAGAGGAGGACTGAGCTGGGAGGTAAGGGGATTTGTTCCCAGGGCCAGCACAAATAAGATAGATATAAAAACTTTAACCAAGAAAAAAACTAATGGGGCTTTTAAAGCACCATACCATATGAAAGTATAAAGATGCACAACATGAAAACATTGGATAAAACAGAACATGTTTTATTGTAATTTTAGAAAAAAAAAAACACATAAGTGGTAAGAGACACCAATGGGTCAGCCAAAATAGACACATAGATAATAAAGCAGAAAAAACATAGTATAAATCTATAAGTTTTAAAAGGGGGGGAAAAGGCTCAGGCCCGGGCTCCTCTCATGCTAAATTTTAACTGTGTTCTGTGTCCAATCTAAGCATTGATAGTGTGATCTCTGTAACTTACAGTTGTGATGAGATAGCGATAACTTCAGCCTCAGTTGGGGTCCACAGTCAGTGACTCAATCAGAATGATATCTTGCAGATCTTGTGAAGTTTATTCCATAAACTGAGAGAATCTTACAACAATAAACATTCGATAGGTTGAAAGAACATACTATTTATGCTTTTTGGGATGTTAGGGAAAGACTGCACTTTATGTTGAACTGTTATCTCATATTAGTCCAGTAAAGCTTTTGAAACATTGTAACGCCTGGTCTGAAGTTACTTAAAGGGGTGCATGTTAATAGAAGAACAGGGTAGTGATGCACACAAGAGGTGAAGTAGTGACATGTTGTTGCTAGGGGCAACCAGCACAAGGAAAGGATGTTATGACAGCAGGAGAGTGGTACCTGCAGGAGTGATGAGTCTTATGTACCGGTGTCGTTCATAGCCTACCTCCGGAGTGGTCGGTGCCCCAGCAACTGGGACTGGACCCACATGGCCGAGACCTTAGGGACCTAGCCATATGGTACAGAAGAGGTAATTGTGCATGGAGTCTGGCTGCAATGGTGGAACGGGACACTGCAATATGGTGTGTCCTTTCAAATATTGCATACTGAGCAGGTGCATGTATTGTGGGATTGGGAGACACCTCTACACAGCAAATAGAGAGGAAAGCCCTGCTCACAAAGTGCCTGAAAGATGAACTGCCTGTGTTGCACAATCAATCATATCCTCCTTTTTTTGCATTGGTTAATATAAGCATGACATATACCATTTGCCTAACTCTGCATCAGAGGTTTGAAAGCTTACCACTTTTTATGTTAACACAACATTTCTATAGTATTGCTATGTCCCTGGAACTCGCCATCATTATTTGAAGTGGTGCTGAAAACCTAATTTCTGTTCACAAAATTAAAATGTAACCATGTCCTCTCTTCCAGGATGCTGTGCAGAGCCTCACGTCTCAGGAGCTGGTAGATAAACTGCGGTAAGGCTCACTCTACCCTCTCTATGTCATATTATGCTTTCGATTAGCTCTACTTGTGTAGTAACCTGGAGGAAACATCACCCCTCACAGCCCTTTAGTACCAGAAAGTAAGGTTCTCACATCGCTTTTGTTTCAGTAGTTGGCAGACTTAAAGATGAACTTTAGTCAGAAAATTAGATAGATCACTTCACTCGGGCCCCTTTTGCAGGTATAGCTATGTAAAACATTAAAACATAGGTGCCTACACTGTTTAAAATCCAGTAAGGCATTGTCTTACCCTGCTCTGCACATGCTCAGTTGCTTTCTAATCTTGGCACTGTGCCGATAATCACTGAAGCACTAGATGCAGATCTGCCGACAGCCTAAAGATAAACTGCTGCTGAGGGGATAGGAAGCAACAGGAATGGCACAGACTGTGCAGCAGGAGCACAGATTAGGGACAGAGAAAAGAAAAGCAGGAGAGGTGACCAACTGTGCTGCCAGAGAGACACAAAAGAGTTAAACTTACAAGGAGTCTATCTTTTCTCCCTGATATTCTCTTCTTTCTCCTTCATGAGCAGCCTATGAACTTCAGCACTGTAAGACTCCATACACACCAGCATTTTTTTTTTTTTTTTGAGCTCAAAAAATGCTGGTAATAGCGGTTTTAGTAGCATTCAGAATTCTTTAGGAGTGTTTGCATTTGATTAGAGTTTTTACGGCACATGTAGAACAAAATAAAAGCTAGAAAAAAGCTGTTTTAGGAGCGTTTAGTGTTTTTTCTGCTGGAAAAACGCTCCAAAAAAATCTACAAAAACATTTGTGCATGGAGCCTAAAGCTTCTGTTATCAGCCTTCTTCTTTAGCTAAGCCAAGACATACAATCAAAGTTGGAAATGTATACACAATATATTGCCAAAAGTATTTGGGACCCCTCAAAATCATTAGATTCAGGTGTTCCAATCACCTCCATGGCCACAAGTGTATAAAATCAAGCCCCTAGGCATGCAGGCTGCTTCTACAAACATTTGTGAAAGAATGGGTCACTCTCAGGAGCTCAGTCAATTCAAGTGTGGTACCCTGATAGGTTGTCACTTGTGCAATAAGTCCATCCGTGAAATTTCCTTACTACTAAATATTTCACGGTCAACTTTTAGTGATATTATAACAAAGTGGAAGCAACTGGGAACAACAGCAACTCAGCCACGAAGTGGTAAGCCACGTAAAATGACAGAGTGGGGTCAGAGCATGCTGAAACTCACAGTGCACAGAGGTTGCCAACTGTTCCCAGAGTCAATAGCTAAAGACCTCCAAACTTTGTGTGGCCTTCAGATTAGCAGAACAACAGTGCGTAGAGAGCTTCATGGAATGGGTTTCCATGGCCGAGCAGCTGCATCCAAGCCTTACATCACCGAGTTCAATGCAAAGCATCGGATGCCGTAGTGTAAAGCACGCCACCACTGGACTTTAGAGCAGTGGAGACGTGTTCTCTGGAGTGACCAATCACACTTCTCTGTCTGGTAATCCGATGGACATGTCTGGTCGTGGTGGTTGCCAGGAGAACAGTACTTGCCTGATTGCATTGTGCCAAGTGTAAAGTTTGGTGGAGGGGGGATTATGGTGTGGGGTTGTTTTTCAGGGGTTGGGCTTGGCCCTTTAGATCCAGTGAAGGGAACTCTTAAGGCGTCAGCATACCAAGACATTTTGGACAATTTCATGGTCCCAACTTTGTGGGAACAGTTTGGGGATGGCCCCTTCCTATTCCAACGTGATTGCGCACCACGGCACAAAGCAAGGTCCATACAAACATGAATGAGCGAGTTTAGGGTGGAGGAACTTGACTGGGCTGCACAGAGTCCTGACCTCAACCTGATAGAACCCCTTTGGGATGAATTAGAGTGGAGACTGTGAGCCAGGCCTTCTCGTCCGACATCAGTGCCTGACCTCACAAATGTGCTTCTGGAAGAATGGTCAAACATTCCCCATAGACACACTCCTAAACCTTGTGGACAGCCTTCCCAGAAGAGTTGAAGCGGTTATAGCTGCAAAGGGTGGGCCAACTCAATACTGAACCCTATGGACTAAGACTGGGTTGCCATTAAAGTTCATGTGCATGTAAAGGCAGCGGCCCAATACATTTGGCAATATAGTATATTACATTTTTGGTTTTCAGTTTGGATACACTTTACCTGCCTCCAACCACAATGGTCAGGAGGTGGACCTACACAAGCACATATTGGGTGCTGTTGCACTTGGCTACCTGGTGATAGAGGTGGGGTCGCTAAGGGCAATTTGGGCTCTCTGACAGATATTCTACACCTGCAGAGTTGAAGCTGTTATAAGGTTGGGCCAACTCAATATTGAACCCTACGGACTAAGACTGGGATGCCATTACTGTTCATGTGCGTGTAAAGGCAGACGTCCCAATACTTTTGGCAATATAGTGTATTTTAGTTACAGAAAGTGACAGTTTTTGACACTAAGAGAGGGAGAGGGTGTTCAGTAAGGAAGCGACTGCTCTGTGCTTCAACAAAATGGCAGACCTCCAGCAATAAGAAACAGGAGCAATGCTGGAGGCAATTTACATGAATTTTAGAAGCATAATTATTAATGTAGAATATATTTCCTTTTGTCAGAGAACATTAATTGTTGTTAGACTGTCATGAGTAAAGTTCCGCTTTAGGTCTGACCATAAAAATTTAGCGATTGTTTTCTGATTATTGAATTTGCAGGTCAAGTGGCAATACAAGATTTCACTAGCAGATTTTGCTGCTGGTGCAGTCTGTATTTTAAATATTCTTCCCTTAGAAACCATTGAGCCTGTCAGATGGGGTGCACTTCTTTGTCGCTACATGTAGTGGTCCTAAATAAGCTGGGAATTTCAATTCTTTATGAAAATCGCATTGAGTGGGTTAAGGCACAATTCTAGGCCAACAGCTAAACATACATGAAAGGAAAGGGAAATATGGTAGCTTCTCTACCAGCAAAAAGATTTGTTTTTCTATCCATTCAGTCCTGAGATTTACACAGCTCTAATTGGTTGGTGACCTCTACTGCAGTTAGACATTACAGTTATGTCACATCCCAGTCCAAGCCTGTGATTGGACAGTGGAGGAGCAGAAGCACCCAGGTGTTAAGTCGTCCCTGTTTGCTCTCTCTCAAAATGTTCCTTACTAAATTAAAATGAGGAAAACTAAAACCTCAGTACGTACTTGCTGTGTGTCCAAAATGGAATCTCATTCACTTCCTGCTCTAGTGACAGCATTGTGTATATAATTTCACTGTCATTTGTTTCTAGATGTTTTGATTCTTTTGTATTGTAAGTGCAATTTCAATTTTATGTGTAAATGAAAGATTTTGGGGGGGATCTGCATTATCTTCATGGTGAAAATTGCTGCTTGAAGTAAAGTCTTCCACACCGCATTGTAATCGCCTGGCGTCCATGCGATCAGGTGTGATTTCAATGTTAAATGACCGACACCACAAAAAAAGGTTGCAAAACGCAGAACGGTTGCCAGAATTCACATCGCATGGGTGTGAACACTCAAGCGATGCGAATCGGATGCGGGGAAAAAAAAAAGCATCCCGCACCTTTTTGGTGCGGATGCAATGTGATTTGGGCCATACAAAATGTATGGCTCAAATCACACCGTACAGACATATGTGATTTGCATGGGACTGCGGTGCGATTCCTGTGCAAATTACATGCGGTGTCCTGCACCACACAAGTGTGAACCTAGACTAAGGGTTGGTTCCAGGGGCGGACTCGCAACTCATGGGGCCACCGGGCAATAGGGGATCATGAGCAGGGGCGGACTGACCATTTGGAAACTCGGGCGCTGCCCGAGGGCCCGGGGTCAGTAGGGGGCCCCCATGAGATGCCTCTGGTACCTTTTTCATAGGTTTTTTTGAGTTTGGACAAGGACACGGGCCCCAAGATCCCCTATTGCCCGGGGGCCCCATGAGTTGTCAGTCCGCCCCTGATCATGAGGCCCCTGTGTCCTTGCCCAAACTCAAAAAAGCCTATGATAAAGATACCAGGGGCATCTCATGGGGCCCCCTACTGACCCCAGGCCCTCGGGCAGTGCCCGAGTTTCCAAATGGTCAGTCCGCCCCTGGTTGGTTTACATCAGGTGCAGTCTAGTATGGCGTTTGTGTTTTTGCATCAAAAACGCATGAACAGTAGGTTATATGGTTTCCAATGGCCTAGTTCTCACCAGTGCTGTCAGTTCCAGTGCAGAAAAAAAAAATTAAAAACATAATGCATTTTACTTCATTGAACTGCACTGGAACGCACCAAAGATGCACTAGCATGCACATGTCCCTGATTAAGAAATAAATTATGGGAAAAAATGTACTGGAACATATTGAAAAAAAACACACATAAAAATGCACCAGAACGCATCAAAATCGCGCGTGCAAAAAAGCATCCAGACTGCGTTCCTATGGTGTGAACCGGTCCTGATCCAGGTTCCTAGACAGCAGTGGGATCACATCATTCCTACTCCACCCAAGCTACTTTCAGTGGAGTTGCTCACAGAGGACGTGCCCTTCATGATTTGTACCTCCTAGCTGATATAACCTCTTCTTTTTCCAAAGGGAAACTTTCCAGCACAATACTCCAGTCTTAGACATGCAAGGAAGTTTGGCCAGCCTGTCCATTGCTGTGGATTCTAAGAAAGTGACCCTTGACCTTCTCAAACTTCCCATCTCCGAGGCACGAGCACATGTACAGCAGGTGTTATTTGACCTGGCGGATCGAGTGTGGAACTTGGAGAAACAGCTGAAAGGTGATGGTGACCAGCTAAGGATTCAGGGGTTATAAAGACTTCATTCACACTGGTATATGCGGATTGCTGCATGGAATAGGCAGAGCTAGCAGAAGATCCTGCAGAAAATCTGCATCCAAAGTACTCGCATTTAGATGCATTTTTTCTAATGACTTTAGCTGCATGGGATCTGCAATTGATCTCCTTCTGAGCCACATCAAGTTACAAGCTGTGTTTGGATTCCTATTGACTTGTATGGGGAGAAAAGCAGTTCTGACATTAACAAATACACAGGTTTAACCACTTGCCTCTTGGGCACTTTTACCCCAATTCTCAGCTTTCAGCGCTGTTGCACTTTGACAGTTGCGCAGTCATGCAACATTGTACCCATATGAAATGTTTATAATTTTTTTCATACACATAAAGCTTTCTGGTGGTGGTATTTAATTGCCACTGGGTGTTTACTTTTTTGCGCTATAAACTAAAAATTGCAAAAAGCTTGGAAAAAAAAAAAGTTTTTCTTTGTTTCTATTATCAAATTTTGCAAACAGGTAATTTTTCTCTTTCAAGGATTTGCGTTGATGAGGCTGCACTGATAGGCAGCACTGATGAGGGGGCACAGATAGGCGGCACTGATAGGCAGCACTGATGGACATTGATGAGGAGGCACTGCTGGGCGATGCTGACTGGCGGCACTGCTGGGCGCAACTGCAGGGCAGTACTGATGGGGGGCACTGTTGGGCACTGGTGGGTGGCACTGCAAGGCACTGATCATCATGGCACGGATGATCAGTGCAGATCTGCTCTCTGACAGCTGCTGGTTATTGGCAGTATTTTCCTCATGCTGTGACAGCCTAGATACGGGTATAACATGTTATAATGGTAGAATTAGCCATTAACCAGTTGCCCTCTGCCCTATAGTAGAATTAATGCTACAGGGTGGCAGGGCTGAGCAAACTCACATTATATATATATATATATATATATATATATATATATATATATATATATATATATATATATACATGTGATTTACATTTCCGGGTAGGGGGCGCATATTAAAAAGGTGATATTAGCCATTAACCAGTTGCCCGCTGCCCTATTGTAGAAATACTGCTACAGGGTGGCAGGGCTGAGCAAACTCACACACATATATTTTTATATATATATATATATATATATATATATATATATATATATATATATATATATATTATATATTGTGATTTCTCTGGGTAGGGGGCGCACATGCGCCGCCCTACTTGCGCCGCCATTGGCGGCTACGGGTATCAATCACCAGGTCCTAGCCAGAGATTCTTCGCGGCACCCGGCGATCGCCGAGTAACAACACAGTTCTCTCTCCTGCCAGCAACAACATGCTGCTGTGTATTTCTCTGCACAGCAGAGAAATACACAGCAGCATGTTTCCCAGGTAAAACACACACAGCACATGTTGTAAAACACAGCACACAGTTAACCCTTTGATTGCCCCAAATGTTAACCCCTTCCTGCCTAGTGTCATTAGTACAGTGTCAGTGCTTTTTATTAGCACTGATCACTGTATTGGTGTCACTGGGGATGTCAGCGACACCAGGTCAGTTCCCCCCAGTGTCTGAATGGCCGCCGCAGTCCTGCTATAAGTCGCTGATCGCCTAGATTGCTGATACTAGTATAAAAAATAAATCAAAATTCCAGTATATATACGCCATTTGTAAACACTATAACTTTTACGTAAACCAATTAATTTACACATATTGGTATTTTTAAATTTTTTTTAGTAGCAGAATACATTTTGGCTTAAATTTATGAATACATTTGATTATATAATTTTTTTTACTGGACATGTTTTTTTTCAAATTGTCGTTTTTTTTTTTTTTGTTCATAGCTCAAAAAACAAAATGCAGAGATCAAATACTACTGAAGGAAAGCTCTATTTGTGGGAAAAAAAGGACATACATATAATTTGGGTGCAGCGTTGCATGAGTGCGCAATTGTCAGTTAAAGTAATGCAGCGCCTTATTGCAAAAAATGGTCTGGTCAGGAAGGGGGGTAAATCCTCTGGAGGGCAAGTGGCAGTGGCGTCCCCAAGCAGGGTGCGGGGGGTGCGCGCGGCACCGGGTGATACCTACCGCACGGGGTGACACCGGACCCACTCCACGAAAAGGTAAGTTGTAAAGCAAGCCGACGATTCATCCTGCGGGGATCATCGGCTTTCTTTACAACTTACCTTTTCGTGGACTGTGTCCGGTGTCACTCCGTATAGGTTGCATGCCGACGATCCCTGCAGGATGGATCGGATCTGCGGATTGGGGAGCATAATGGATCAGAGTCCGATCCATTATGTTCAATCCACAGATCCGATCCATCCTGCAGGGATCGTAGGAGGTTGTGTCACCAAGTGTTATTGCACCGGGTGACACCAGCCCTAGGGACGCCCCTGGCAAGTGGTATAGACTTTCACTAAAAACACCTCATTTGTCTATTCTTTACTGTATTTTTTTCAAAGAATTCATTTAGCTTGGGAGTTGACTGCACTGTCTGTCATACAGACAGCCACTTGAGGGAGTGCTTGCACATCTGTATATAAAATGTGAAAACATGACAAAATAGGCTGATTAGCCCAGCAAACCTTTATGTGCACTCGCTCTAAAATATCAGCTTGTTTCTAAATCTGCTTATGTAACATAAGTTCTCAAAAAAAAGCTGACAGATGCGCAATGCTCTTTAGAACCAGAACATGGGACATTTTGAGGGGGATTTACTAAAACTGGAGTACTCCATATCTGTTGTAGATGTGTATGGTAGCCAATCGGCTTCTAAATTCTGCTTGTTCAATTGAGCTATGGCAATAACCTAGAAGCTGATTGTTTTCTATGCAGAGCTGCATCAGATTTTGCACTCTCCAGTTTTAGTAAATAACCCCCTTTTTGTGTTGATGGTTCATTTTTGTCTTCCAGCCGCAGAGCCCAGCATCACTCCATCCGACAGTCCAGTGAAGCAGTCTCAGAAGAACCACTTGCTGCTTTTTCCAGGTACGTGCAAGTTGCAGTTGGCTTTGAATTTTTAGCATGCCAAGGAATCTGGATGGGCAATAGAAATAGCAAGGCCAGAAATGTAAGCAGAGGAGCGGACTACCATACCAAGCCTGGGGAATGGGTGGGTGGTGGGGGGGGGGGGGGCAGTCAGGTAGGGGGCCCCTATGATTTCTAGTTTGGTCCTGGTTTTATTTCGTTTATCTTAAATTAAGTGACATATTCATACTGGGTATTATTATACAGTATTTATAAAGCGCCAATAGTTCGCTCAGCGCTGTACATTACAAAGGGAGACAGAACATGTGACAAACAATAGATGCAAAAAATCGAGGGCCCTGCTCTTTCGAGCTTACAACTATAGCTTTTGCCTAAGTCTACATAGATAAACCCAACATTTGACATTCCTGATATGTTCTTGCTGTACCATGTACTTGTATGAAAAGTATCCTGTTCTCTTTGTATTGCGACCTTTGTGTGAAGTCCTGGTGTTCCTGCCAGTCCTTTTGCTGTCCTTTTAAAAACTGACCACACTAGGCATGAAAGCACAGCATGGTCAGAAGAACGGCTGCTGGTTCTCCTGGGCAGCAGAGCTGACTGCAGGGAGCACCGCCTCCCGGAAGAACGGCAGCTGGACCTCCTGGGCAGCAGAGCGGAGTGAAGGGAGTGCCACCCCCTGGAAGAACGGCCGCTGGTTCTCCTGGGCAGCAGAACAGAGTGATGGGAGCAGCAGCGAACCTCCAGGAACAGAGCCCCTGTGATGGGATGTCTCTCTCCGGGGGGAAGGGGAGTTGTGGGGGCCATGGTGTGCGGGTGGGTCACAGGTGGGGGGGGCTGGTGGATGGGGGCCAGGGGCGGCAGATTTTTTGTGTTGCCTAGGGCAGCACAAATTCTAAATACACTCCTGCAGACACCCACCTGCCCATCAAGACATTTGGCTTTCCTCCCAAAAGCCAACTAACTGCTTGCATCAGGACTGAGGCAGAGCGCTGTGATGTTTCCTGGGACCTATGTATAGCACCCACCAGCCATTATCTGTCTGTATCACATAGAGAAGTGCAGAGACCCAGTAATGACAAGACTGGAACCAAAACAGGGTAAGTAATGAAAATAATAAAGTTTTAATTGAAAATTTAATGAGCATGTTGATAAGGAGGGTGGGGAGGAACCAGGGAAGACAAAATATAAGCAGATTAAACTTCAGCTTTGACAAAGGATAAAGGAGTGAGTGATATGCGGTATAAAAGAGAATAATTATTTAACTTTTAGCTGTTCTCTGTAAAGGACTACATGTTGGTGCTATATCAAAAATAAAAAAAATAAATGTCATTTAAAAATTTTCTGTTAGATGTTGATTCTCGAAAGAAGGGATATGCAGGATCTGCGGCACAAGTGAAAAAAAGAATCCCTGGGGAGTCGCTCATTAATCCTGGATGTAAGAGGTACAGTTATCCTTTTTGTATTCAGTTTTCAAACAAAACTTCTTAACTGTCACAAGATGTGTTCCACCCTTTGATGCTCTGTATAAAGGGACTGGAGGGAAGAACAGGCTCGTTACCCATGGTCCTACACACTTTATATACGGCTGCTGTATGAACATTTTATCATGGCAGGTTTTGGTTCCACACCAGTTTTAATCTGATTGTTCTAACAGATTTTTTGATACTTGGATTAAATCTAAGAAATCACACTATTCAGTGCTTTTTGCAGGTCGTTTTGAAATAGAAGCAAATTGGGAAATTTCTGATAATTTTCGAATGGACCTTATGATTGGCAATTACGCATGGATTCCATCACTCAGATATGTATGGGATCTTAAGTGCCGGTTCATACTGATGCGATTTGGGAAACTGCTTTTGATTCAGACAGGAATTGCACTGCATTCCTGGTTAAATCAGATGTGATTCTTGCAGTGCGATTTGAGCCATTCATTTTGTATGACTCAAATAGCACTGCACCTGCAGGAAAGGTGTAGGCACCTATTTTTCCTCACTGAAATCCAATTCGATTCAGCCAATTGCAATGCGTTTTGGGGTGTCGTTAACATAGACACCCACAGCGGTTTGCATGAACAGAATGCAATTGTGATGCGATTCGGGAAATGCACAGCAATTGCTGCAAATCCTGCTAGGCATCATTGTGAACCAGCAATAAAGGTGAATTCCAAGTATGAGTTTTAGAGAATAGTTACATTGGACCAGCTTGGAACAATGTACATACAGTATAGGCCATGCCTATAGGATCCCAGTGGAAGCTGGAAATCACTTTAGTAAGTACTGCCAATTACTGCTACTACAGAGATCTCCACTAGCTTCTGGGTCCCATGTTGAATGGCTGCCCTGCTGCTTAATAAACACAGGTGGTCTATCACTTCCACGGGTGCCACTTACAGAATGCCTTGCAAATTTCTATCAAGACATTTGTCATTCTCTGATTGACAAGGGGTGGGCAGTGACATCATGATCTCCACCTAGTCCAACCAGGGAATGCCTTACATTCGTTGAGAAAATGTAATTCATTCTACCTCTGGAACCTGGCCTTTCCACCAGCCTGGTCCTCCCCGCGCTCCTTCCATCAGTGGTCCTCGGCTAACCTACTTCGTGCTCACCACTTTTTGACCAATAGGCTCAAAATCTTTCTCCTCTCTCCGGGAAACGCACTCTATTCCAGCGTCGGAAATCTTTAGATACCTTCAACTACAGCACTTCTATGCTCCGTTTCGCCGCCCAATTCCACTCTACCCGTCCAATGTCCTTCTTTGAAGGCTCTTGCTACAAGGACCCGCATAGGTGAGGCCTCATCTCAGTTCTCTATAACCTTTTGTCCACACCAAAGTCTTTTCCAACCCCTACATATGTCACCAGATGGGAGAAAGATCTAGGACTTCAATTGGACCCTACAGATTGGGACCGTATCTCATCGGCTACCAAGTCTTCCTCACAGAATGTGGTGGCTGTTGAGACTAATTACAAAGTTTTGACACAATGGTATTTAGTCCCTGCAAGGATCGCTAAATATACCCACGGCTACTCTCCAGGGGTTGTCCAGAATGCTGTAGTGGTCAGAACTTTCATATTTTGTGGTCTTGTCCGGTTGCCCAAACCTTCTGGACTGACATTTTTCGTATGCTATTCCTGCTATATCTGGAATTCAGCTTTAGTCCTGAATTGTTCAGAAGATTGTCCGTGGAATTTAAAAAAAGACTGGCACAGATAGATTTACTAATTCATATTGTGTTGCGCTCCCAGTGAGAAAATCTGTGATATTAATAACTCTATTTACCCTTGGTGAACAAATATATAATCAGGGGATTTTACAAAAAATATATACAGAATAAAAAATATATATATTATTAAAAAATTTTATATATATATAATCCACTGATGAAAATATAAATGTGGAAATAATATCCCCAGAAACAATAAGTGATAAAATATTGTGTACTAAAACATAAATATAAATAAATCAATATGCATCATGATTGGTGAATAATCAAAAAATACAAATAACTTAAAATATATATATGTACTGCAAATTAATTTGTGATATTAATGTCCTTTAAATACAGTGACTTTGTGCTTGATTAAATCTTGATTTGGTGACTTATTGTGAATCCGTGACTCTCTTTGAATCCTTAATTAGTGAAGATGTATGCTCACCTCCTTATTAGCCTGCAATTAGGCTATACACACTTGTGGTTCACCTCATGGAACCTGCTTAGATGGAATTCCTCCTTTACAGATTGTAAAAACGTGGATATCCGTTATCCTCAATTAGCCCATATGCGTTTTTCCATATGTGGGGACAAATTGCCAAACATAGTGTTTTATCCTTATAAAAAGGTTTTGCTTTATTGCTCTCCAACAGGTACACTCACATAAATAGTATGCGGTATAGGATGAATTGCTCAGCTCAAGTAATCCGCCAGCCGTCTAGCCATGCACTCGCCGTCTGTAAAACACTCCGGCTCTCTCCGAGTGACACCGCAGCCCCACCCCTACGCGTTACGCCACTGGTCACGTGGCTTCATCAGGGGTTGTGATATTATTATGATAGTATCACAACCCCCTGATGAAGCCACGTGACCAGTGGCGTAACGCGTAGGGGTGGGGCTGCGGTGTCACTCGGAGAGAGCCGGAGTGTTTTACAGACGGCGAGTGCATGGCTAGACGGCTGGCGGATTACTTGAGCTGAGCAATTCATCTATACAGCATACTATTTATGTGAGTGTACCTGTTGGAGAGCAATAAAGCAAAACCTTTTTATAAGGATAAAACACTATGTTTGGCAATTTGTCCCCACATATGGAAAAACGCATATGGGCTAATTGAGGATAACGGATATCCACGTTTTTACAATCTGTAAAGGAGGAATTCCATCTAAGCAGGTTCCATAGGAGGTGAACCACAAGTGTGTATAGCCTAATTGCAGGCTAATAAGGAGGTGAGCATACATCTTCTAATTAAGGATTCAAAGAGAGTCACGGATTCACAATAAGTCACCAAATCAAGATTTAATCAAGCACAAAGTCACTGTATTTAAAGGACATTAATATCACAAATTAATTTGCAGTACATATATATATTTTAAGTTATTTGTATTTTTTGATTATTCACCAATCATGATGCATATTGATTTATTTATATTTATGTTTTAGTACACAATATTTTATCACTTATTGTTTCTGGGGATATTATTTCCACATTTATATTTTCATCAGTGGATTATATATATATAAATTTTTTTAATAATATATATATTTTTTATTCTGTATATATTTTTTGTAAAATCCCCTGATTATATATTTGTTCACCAAGGGTAAATAGAGTTATTAATATCACAGATTTTCTCACTGGGAGCGCAACACAATATGAATTATTAACTTTATGGACACAGAGGTAGTAGTGTGTTGAGTGTTAGCAATCCTATTTATATTTGGGACAGTGTGTGTCCATTTTTTTTGATTTTTTTGATGATTTTGGGAGGTTAATATTGGGTGGATATAAATTGGCTCGTAAGTCACACAGATATCTGCTAACAGATAGATTTACTAAAATGTCTTGTGTGCATTGTAAAAGTGGTGCAGCCTAAGCCATAATCATGTACCTATCTAGATCCTTTACTTGAATTCATTGCATGCTGCAACACTTTTCGTGCGAGATGTAAAATCTGTCTGTACCATGTCTCTCTCTGTATGTAAAAAGAGAGTTGGTCTTAATTAGCTCAACTTTTGTAAGATACACACTGTCAATATTTTATTTTGAATTGGGTGTAGGCATTGTACTGCAATGTAAAAGTGGCGCATTTTAGAACTACCTGAATTTGCCGCATATGCTTCATGAATTTGGGGCAATACAATACCAAAAGGGATTGACCCCAGAATAGTGGCGCAATGGCTTTAGTGAAATTGCCCCCATGTTTACATTCCCTATTTTGGTATTACATTTCTTTGTTAAATGTTAAGAATTGTGTGTATTTGTAGTACAAGTTTAAAACCTTGTGGGCTTAACATGAATAAGATAATGTATTCCCATTTTTTCTTTTAGTAAGAAAATCGCAAAGGGAGTGGATTTTGAAGAATCCTGAGCATTCATGGAAGTGGTCTGTGCTGGATGTGACTGTGTACACCATAATGTGGATCAATAACGCCATCTATTGACAGTTTGATGCAAGTACTGGGTGGTTCATTGGGGCAAGTTTTTATATTACAAGGACAGGCTGTTTATTATCTACCTCCAAATAATAAGTCACGGACAAGGATAATTCTCTGCCTTTCCTGAACTACACGATTGGACTGTACCGGATATCTAAATGTATTGTCACAGAGCAAGAGGACCTCTTTTACTGCTGCACAGACCTGACCTCTAAAGGGCTCTCAATAACGCCATTGGCTGTATAACCCATTGCTTCCCATAATGCAGGAGAAAACAAGTCTCATGACTACACTATAGAAGGATCACACTAGCAAACTATTATGGCTGTTGCTACTGAAACCTTTCCTATGATTCCCTTTTCATGGTGGATGCAGGGCTGCAATTTCATTGCTGAGTTAGGGTGCCTTTCAGATGTGGGATCTGGCCAATTACTACATGTCTGTTGGTCTGTCTGCAAATGTATGCATGTCTGTGCACAACATTTGCAGACATCCCTGTCCAACCTACCTCAGAAGAAGAATCAACCATCTGGACTGAAATATTCCAGCCAATTGATATTGTCTTAAATCAGGCCGGTGTCACTGTTGGTTGTTTGAGCAGCTCATACATTAGTCATTTTTTTTTGTTCAACTAATGGGTAAAATGAAAAAAGAAGGACTTCCCCATTCATTCAAGGTGGATAGGGAATTGTAGTCTGACAGTTGGGAGACTTCCCTGCCACCACAATATACTGATCAGCACCACTGGCTATAGCCAGCGGCGCTGATCGAGCAGCAAAAGTCTTACAGGGCGGTTGTACAGAAGTTGATCAGTAGATTGACTTCTATACAACCATCCCGCCAATACATGGATTGAAATCTAGCCAGTCCTGAACTGGACATATTTCAATTCATGTATGGCTGGCTTTAGAGCAAAGAAGATGAATGCTCAAATGGTACATGCCCACATGGAAGAAAAATATATTTAAAATATATTTTTAAAATATTCTTCCCAAATATATTGCCACATATTTGAAATGCTACAATTTTGGCCATATTCATTCTCATTATCTATCTATCCGCCTACATGTTGAAATTTATTGTTCTTTCAAAATTATATGGAGAAATATTTAAAAATACATTTCAAATATACTGTATGTCTTTAAAAATATAAATCTACATTTTTGGAATACGTTTGCAAACATATGTAAAAATATATGTTAAAATGACTTCTTTATGTTAAAAAAAAAATCTGAAGAATATATTTAAAAAAAATATATATTTTTAAAAATATATTTTTTTAAAATATATTCTTCAGAATCTTTTTAACATATAAAAAAGTAATTTTAACATATAGTTTTACATATATTTGTAAATGCATACCAAAAATTTAGATTTGTAATTTTAAAGACATACAGTATATTTGAAATGTATTTTTAAAAATATTTGTCATATATTTTGGAATAAAAACGCATTGTATGTATATAATTTTTTTTTCATATGTTTTGGAATAAAAACACATATCAATGGTATGTATATATATGTATGGGATGTATGTGTGTATATATATATATGTGTGTGTGTGTGTGTGTGTATGTATATATGTGTGTGTGTGTGTGTGTATGTGTGTGTATATATATATATATGTGTGTGTGTGTGTGTATATGTGTGTATATATATATATGTGTGTGTGTGTATGTGTATATATATATATATATGTGTGTGTGTATATATATATATATATATTGAATATGGCCAAAATTATAGCATTTCAAATATATGGCAATATATTTGGGAAGAATATTTTTAAAATATATTTCAAATAGATTTTTCTTCCATATGGGTGTTTATGCCATATCTTTCCAGAATATAGTCATTTCATGTTTGGGACTTCTATTCACGCTCTTCTTCTATTTGTGGGTGGCATTACTTAAAGCGGAACTAAAGTCACTATGCTTACCTCCTTTGCAACAGTCCAAGAGGTGCCGGCATCTTCTCCATGACTCCTTCCAGGCAATGGTCTGTGGCCATTTACATTGACTGGCACAGGACGACATAACTCATCAGTCATCCCAACACACAGGGACTGTGCCAGGGATGTAAACTGAGCTGCCCAATGGCAGCTCAGGATACATGTCATAGAAGACTGCAAGCAGTCACGTTGGTGTATTTTATTCCACAAGATACTTTGCATGTCTCTTCTCCATTGCAAAGTTCATGTCCAGCCGTTTATTCTGCTTTTGGATAGAATGCAGAAGGATTAGAACTCTTGTCGGATTTTTACTGCTGTCTGGGTTTTCGGTTCTGAGAGATTTACTCTCGCTTCCTGACTTGTTGAAAACAGTTTAATCAAACACTATGTTGGGTAAAATCAGTAACCCGAACACACTCCCCTATTCTACTAAAAATGTGTTTTTATTTCTGTCTAAGTGGCTGTTGGATAGTTTCCCTCACTTCCTTTCTGGTAAAACATTTTTTGTAGGGAAAGAAATCAAACATTATCTCTCGAATGAGATCTGGATAGCAGTAAAAACCTGTCAGGGGGTCTAACCCTCCCCCACATTCAAAACTACAAAAAAAATTTGGCTGGACATACACTTTAACTCTGATTGTTCTTTCTGGCTAAAATCTGGTTTAAGAACCTATACAAGCCTAATCCAGCAAATTTATAATTCAGAAGAATCAGCAATCTAGGACAACCAAACTGGATTCCATTTTCTTGGTGAAATTGATTTTTTACTGCTCTTTGCACATCACTGTTGCATTTCATTCTGTCTGTTATGTGTGAAAATCAGAATATGTGTGTGTATTTATTATATATACATACTTAGCTCCCATTTACACCACTGTAGAATGATGTCAGATATCATGCATATGCACAATTTTCATGCTTAGGGCATCCCATTAACTTCAATAGAATTCCCAACAAGTGCCAAATGCTGCAGAGAAGCTCATGTATCTTTTTTGAATTCTAAGTGGTTTTTGACTGTGCATTTTGATGCATGCGCTTCTTGCTTGGCACGTTTGGGATGCCATTGACCATGATTGGCACTGCAAGAGCGACACACATTGTTTTGCGTGTCTAATTCACAAACTAAAGTAGTGGAAATGCGGGCTTGTGTTTTTTAAAGTACTCACGATTTTTGCATTTTTTACAGTTACGAAAGCCTCAGTCACATAAACATGATTTTAAAACAAAAGTATTTATTTACATATCCAAATGTCAGCAAGAAGAGTTTTAATTAAATTAACAGAAAAAAGTATATGTAGATAATAGAAATATTTTAGTAGCGCATTGGGCTGTGCAAGGCTGGTCATAGATGACTTGAATTGTGGCCAATTCCTGCTGAAGTGACCAAAATTTGAGCCATGGGTGGTTGATACTGAGCTAGGTGGAAAATTATCAGCCGAACAGAGACTGCATCGTATCAGAAGCAATGCTTGTTTGGATATTTGGCCATGGCTGCCTGAATACAAGGAAGATTTCTCCATCCATGATGTTCACTGTGGATAGGGGAATCCATTATTTCTTTTGTTCAGGCCATGGGACTGAACAAGAGAAATCGAGCTGTGTTTGGGAAGCCTTCGAATTGGTAAACTACAGTATGTATGTTACCCACTGAATGGAATTGTACTGAAATGCTAGATATGAAGGGGGACAATTTTTGGGTATATACTATATTCATGGACTTGGAAGTTGTCTGTTCAACTGGAACAGCTCAAGGAGCAAAGTGAAGCAATCCAAAAGGAACCAGCTAGTATTCACTTTGCTGGAGTCAGACCAGTACAAACTGGATTCTGAATGGTTTCCTGCTTTGCTCCACTAAAGCTGTCACCTACTGTTTTACATGAACTAGTGCGTTCCAGCTGTGACGAGGTTGACTCGAATATCAGTCAATGGTAATTCTCAACTTGTTTGCTTACTCCCCCCAGAACATATATTTTCTTGTTTCCTTTAATGGATTTTTTTTTTTTTTTATTTTTTTTTTTGCATTTTGGTTTTAAACGAACGCACAATTTGTGCGTGACAAACTACAAACAAATCGAATACCATTGGTCATACAGTGACAAAGCAGCAATCAGTGCCACAATATCATTTCCAGGAACAATATGTAACTATTTTAATATTGAAACATGGATATGTATATGGAATCAATAAAGTCTTTCTACTTGAATGAAGACAGATCTCTTGTATTATCTCCATGGAAGATGTTGAGCTTAACATTGCTTGCTGTACAAGAACAATTCAGTGTTTTTATACCATTGTTTGATACTGCATGCTGAAAGCTGTAGAGGGCGCTCTTGCAACACAACGGTCTTTGTAGCCAAAGAAGGTAATAGGATGGTGATGGCAGTCCTGCACCGTGCACACTGGATGTAGCGGTGAAGAGTTCAAAGCTTTGTATGGAAGGCCATCAGCGTGGCATTGGTTTGACCACATGGCGATAGTATAGTATGATCTCATCTTTGTTTGGACAGGTGTAAGCGAAGGTCTTCAGTTGTGTTGCATTGTTCAGGTAGCTAGATATACCTCTCAGGTCTTTGGGGATCTCGAAGTGGCGGAAATGTCTGCAAACCGTCTGCCGAAGAGAAAGGAGAGGTTTTTTTTTTTTTTAGGTTTTTGAATTTTTAGATCTGTATGTCTATTCAATCAGTTTAAAGTAGAACTTTGGCCTACCATTACATTTGCTGCAGCAAATAATTCACATTTGGCTCTTGGTTCCCCTGCACTATCCCACAAATACTTGTTGATCCTGCCAGTAAAGTCCACCCATTCCAGCTTCCTTTCATGGTATGGGAACTGTGGCAAAGGGGATAAGACAATGTTGCAGGTAACGAGGCTATCAGTGCTGTCAATAGCCACTGATAAGGCAGTACAGCCAGCCCTCCTGCGCCGGGTCCCATCAATTCAAAAGGGGGGTCCAGGCACCTGCTGAGCAGGGGGGCCAGCTGTACTGCCTTATTGCTGACACCAATCCTCTTGTGCCTTCCCCTGCAGTGCTGTTAGCTTCTACTTCTCTTTTCCCTCAGGGGGATCGGTTCGAGTATCTTCACCCCACCCCCCAACTATCTGGCACCCCTTACTCCCACAGCACTACTAGCTTCCCTACTCTTCTCTCCTGCTGGCAGCTGTTCCAGGCACACAGGGAGATTGTTTCAGGATGGAGAATGGGGGAAGGGGCTAGAAAATATGTAATTTTTACCGGGCCCTTCCATCCCTGAATAAACACAGTGAGTGATTTGGTACAGATCGCTCTTGTGTCCATTCACCACTGAAGCAGAGTAAACCGTGTTTACTCTGCTTCAGTTTTTGAATGAACAAGAAGGTTCAGAGCACTTCCTATTCATTTATCTGTGCAGGTGAGGCTTCAGAGAGATGGACTTTATTAATCTATGCCCTCAGTCTATTTCTCAAGTCTCAAATGTGAGAAATCAGGGGTCTGTTTAGATCCCTGATAATTTACCAAAGCCCCCCTACAGGGCAGTAAAAAATTAAAGCTGCCTGTTACTCTAAAGCAGTGGTTTCCAAACTGTGGCCGGGGGCCAGACGTGGCCCTTTGCTTGCATTTATTCGGTTCTTGGGGCACTATTTCATCCACTGATACCACCAATGGGGCATAATTCCCTCCACTGACACCAAAGAAGGGGCACAATTCCTCCCAGTGACACCAATTAAGGGCACAATTCCTCCCAATGACACCAACAATGGGGCACAATTCCTCATAATGATAGCAAAGAAGGGGCATGGTTTATTCCCACTGATGTTGGGACCTTTTCTACTCCCAATGGCCACAGTCCAGGCCCCCTAAAGTCAGAAGGCCAGTAAACTAGCCCTTTGTTTTGAAAGTTTGGAGACCTCTGCTCTAAAGGGACGTAGTGGCTGTACGAAGACAGCCACAGGTCCTAATTTGGCAGGTGGGCAGGTGCGAATGAGTGGTCCTGAATGCACACTGTCTTTGGGGCCATACACCTGCAGGACCTGTGGTTGTGTTCATGCAGCTGCTGCATCCTCATTACATAGATTGACTGCACATCGCTCCAACCACAGAGCCTCATAAACGAACCACTGATTCACATTTGTTGTGTTTGTGTCCACTAAAATTATTTTTTGTTTTTAGCAAACAAAATTTTGATATTTTCATGGGGGGGGGGGGGGGGGGGGGGGGGGCCCTGTCAAGTAGGCTGTCCGGGGCCCTGTGATTTCTATTAGCAGCCTTGGTGCTGTCCATGCCAATGCAATCAGCATCAGACCATAACTAGTCCTGTCCACTGATTTTTCTATTGACCTTTGCTGCTGAAACCCTGAAATTGTGAGCTGCAGTGTCCAGGAGGGGAAGCATATGAGATACAACTAAAGCCTTTGTGAGACTTGTGCATCCCATGGTAACTTGTTCAAAATGTTATACGGGAGCCTTTAGTTATACTTCAAAATGTAACTAAGCCCAATCCAATCTCTATGGTCAGCCCTAGTATAGCCTTTCCTAAATGAGTATGCTATTGAAACCAGAGAGCGACAAAAGATATTGTAAGTGCAAGTATGCCTCTAATGATATTGTAAAATATGGTATCAACGTACATATGATATCACTGATATTGTAAATATGTCAAGTATGTAACTAAAGATATTGTAAGTGCAAGACTGTGAAGTAATGATTCAATAGTACCTCTAGACAAAATCTCTCTTGTTTTGGATAGAGCGAGGGAGGTTCAGACTCTCAATTACGTTTTTATTGTTGCCTGCGTCCCTTTCAAGGGAAAACACATCAATGCATAGCCCCATTCTGCTATGCATTGAGTTACTATTAATTTTAATTCAACTCCACACACCAAGGCACACATAAGGGTTGATTTATTAAAAGGAAATAGACTGTGCACTTTGCATTTTGCAAGTGCAGTTGCTCCAGAGCTTACTACATAAGGTAAAGCTCTGCTGACTCCAATAATCCAATCATGTGCAAGCAAAAATGCTGTTTTTTTTTTTTATTTTACCGCGCATGTTATTGGGTATTCTGTTTAAAGTGAAGCTTTACCTCATTTACTAAGCGCTGGAGAAACTGTACTTGCAAAGTGCACAGTCTAATTGCCATTAATAAATCAACCCCATAGTTACATAGTTAGGGTGAAATGATCTACTGTAGTACAACCAATAAAATGAAAAGCACACACAAATAGAAAACCTCCATATACACTATCCTATACCCACAGTTGACCCAGAGGAAGGCAAAAACACCCAATAAAGCATGATCCAATTAATTCCCGTGGGGGTAAAAATTCCTTCCTGATCCCCCAGGAGCCAATGGGATATTCCCTGGATCAACTACCCTGGATTTATTACCTCTAAGAATTAATATCCAGTTATATTTTGTGAATTTAGGAGTGCATCTAGCTCTTGTATAAACAATCTACTGAGTTGTATAAGTAGGTAATAGAGCGCTGGGAACATATAAGCGAAGCAGCTAGCATAAAAGGTAACCTTGGGACCCAAATACAAACATAAAAAATAAAATATGCAGCGCTTATAAAATAAATATGAACAAGCAGAAAATCAGAACATAAAACGCATAACTGCATGAAAAACTCAGTCCATATTGCATGGTGCGATAAAGTGATAGGTGCAATTGTCCCAATAATCCATGTTCAGAGAAATTCGTGACTCTTGTGATCTCGTGATTGTACAAATAATGCACTAACCAGATAGCGCAATAAATGCGCATGGAGCAATTAAGACCCGCTCCTGGTGCTCTGGACTTGTAATATTAGGAGGATGTCATCTGCAGGTTGGCCACCAGGTCAGGGGCACCTCCCTAACGCGTTTCGTGTGAAAACACTTCCTCAGAGGGACTGTTTTCACACGAAACGCGTTAGGGAGGTGCCCCTGACCTGTGTATCCATACCACAAGGCCATCCTGACTGACACCCTGGTGGCCAGACTTTGTTTTGATGTAAGTTTATCCTTCAATTGTACTTGGTGTAAGTTTTACCTATTAAAGACATACTACACTATCAGAGGCTTCTCTGGGTCTCATCTATTGTATGGGAGCCTGTTTTTGAAGGTTACGAGATCACAAGAGTCACGAATTTCTCTGAACATGGATTATTGGGACAATTGCACCTATCACTTTATCGCACCATGGACTGAGTTTTTCATGCAGTTATGCGTTTTATGTTCTGATTTTCTGCTTGTTCATATTTATTTTATAAGCGCTGCATATTTTATTTTTATATTTTAATCTACTGAGTTGGCCAGAACCTGTTCTTGAGGGAGTCGATTATCCCAATAATCCATGTTCAGAGAAATTCGTGACTCTTGTGATCTCGTGATTGTACAAATAATGCACTAACCAGATAGCGCAATAAATGCGCATGGAGCAATTAAGACCCGCTCCTGGTGCTCTGGACTTGTAATATTAGGAGGATGTCATCTGCAGGTTGGCCACCAGATGTCATCAATCCAGGTATATTGGTAAGTCATCCACCAGAAAGATCATCAGCGGGGGAGGGGGTGATCATGCATCATTCCCAAATAAACGTAACCTTCAAAAACGGGCTCCCATACAATAGATGAGACCCAGAGAAGCCTCTGATAGTGTAGTATGTCTTTAATAGGTAAAACTTACACCAAGTACAATTGAAGGATAAACTTACATCAAAACAAAGTCTGGCCACCAGGGTGTCAGTCAGGATGGCCTTGTGTATGGATACACAGGTCAGGGGCACCTCCCTAACGCGTTTCGTGTGAAAACAGTCCCTCTGAGGAAGTGTTTTCACACGAAACGCGTTAGGGAGGTGCCCCTGACCTGGTGGCCAACCTGCAGATGACATCCTCCTAATATTACAAGTCCAGAGCACCAGGAGCGGGTCTTAATTGCTCCATGCGCATTTATTGCGCTATCTGGTTAGTGCATTATTTGTACAATCACGAGATCACAAGAGTCACGAATTTCTCTGAACATGGATTATTGGGACAATTGCACCTATCACTTTATCGCACCATGCAATATGGACTGAGTTTTTCATGCAGTTATGCGTTTTATGTTCTGATTTTCTGCTTGTTCATATTTATTTTATAAGCGCTGCATATTTTATTTTTATATTTTAATCTACTGAGTTGGCCAGAACCTGTTCTTGAGGGAGTCGATTCCATATTTTCACTGCTCTTACTGGGAAGAAGCCTTTCCATATATGAGGGTTGAATCTCTCTCCCCCATTTGTTTTAAAAGAGAAGTAAGACCAAAACTTTGAGCCATACTTATCTGGAACACAGGACTGCATTTACTTTTGCTCTTCTGTGACCCAGAGTCAGTTGATAGTAGGCTATTGCCCACTATCAGCTGATCTCACAGAGCCACTCGAGGCTCTGGAAGGATCCTGACCATATTGTCAGGATCCACCCAGCTGCCTGATTGACAGCTGGCTTTGTCTCTTAGTGTGTGGCTGAGAGCTGAAGCCAGCCGTACCAGCCCACTCCCCAACCTAGTTCTCCAGTGAGCACTGGAAGGGCAGAGCAGAGAGCACTGAGTGACAGTCACTGCTCTCTGCTCAGATCTGACCAACAACTGAGCAATTAGCGGTCATGCGACAGCTCAGTTCTCAGGCTTAGAGCCTGCAGGAGAACGTGTGTGACATTTGGTATTCAAAGAATTAAAAGATGTATTTCCTGCTTACATTGATGATGTTGAGTTTTGGCAGCAGGTTACAGTCTGGAAGTGTCAGTTCATCTCCATCCAGGAATATCCTCTTGGATACGGTCATTTTAGGGTCCTTGGCTAGCTCATGTGGTAGTGGAGTCAACAGGTAACGGTCTAGGAGTAGGAATGAGCGCAGCAAATTCTTTTGCAGATCTGGAAAAAAATGAGGATTGTATCATAACTTTATCCACTAAAAAAAAAATACTTCTTATGTTTATTTCTATATATTATTTGTAGCCCTGAAAAAAGGGTCCCTTTTACCCCAAAACATGATGCTTTTTCTAAAAACCTTGCTGTTAAAATGTTTCTGGACTGAAACTGAAAAGCTGTGTTTTATCCTTTTTTTTTAAATATATTTATTTTATTTGAAGCTTTTGTGCCAAGAGCCTAGCACATGGATATAGTCTGATAGAGAGCTGCCTATAAGCACCCCTAGAGTCAGTCTAGACTAGGGGTGTCAAACTCCATTTCATCGTGGCCCTCATCAGCATTATGGTTGTCCTCAAAGGGCCGGTTGTATCTATAAGATTAGATGTCCAGAACACCTGACCCCCCCCCCATTACATCAGATGTCAAGAATCCCACACCCTCCCTAACATCACCGTGCACCCCCTTTGGGGACAGAGATGGAAAGCAGAAAGTGCAGTGTCTGGAGGAGGATCAGAGGAGGAGTGGAGTCAGTTACCCAAGTTTGCTGAATGCTGAGACCAGGGGAGGCAGAGATGAGGGGGTGCTGCAGCTGCACTGAGAGGTGCAGGATTTGGCAGAGGAGTTCTATTCTCTCTGCTGCCGACTACTGAGACAAGGGGTACCTGCAGGAGAGTTGCAAGGGCCACATGAAATGGCCTGGAGGGCCGGATTCAGCCTGCAGGCCTTGTGTTTGACACCTGTGGTCTAGGCACTATGCTGAAGTCAGGGTCCAGTGCTACACCATCTTATCTTTTCACTCTTGGAAAAAAAAAGACTGTCTTATAAATTTTAGAGACTTTGCTACAGTGGTTGTAAACCTCAGACATGAAATATGAACAAAGCATATCTCTCTATAGTATGTACTTGTCTCAGTCCAGATCACTAAGTGTCATCTCTGTCTCTGGCCTTGTTCCTCTGCTATCGGCATTAAACAATTCTGACAAGCTTTCCTGATAAAAGATGACAGGGGAGGAACCTCCAACACACAGCCTATGATTGACAGCCCCAGCTCTGTTCCTCCATTGTCTGAAAGGGGGGGGGGACCTTTCCCTTCAATTAGTTCTCAGAGCTCTTCTCACTGATATTTGCAAAGTTTAATTTCAGCTCCCCACCCACTGAGCTCAGACAAATGCTGCACTTTAAAACGGCTGTAGAGAAGAGAGTGCTGCAGATAAACAGATACAGCTTATGTAGGAGGATTTGTTTAATTTCTGTAAATCACCAGAGGCCAGTCACTTTACTGTGTATATGTAAGGGTTTACAACCAATGTATCCGCTTCAAGCAGGCAGGACAGAGAGTGTCAATTATCAGTCCTAACTCAGGCAGGCAAAAGGTCATCTGGAATGACACTGACACCCAACAGCCTGACACTGCACTGACATTTTTGATTTAATAGGGAGAGAATATAGGAGTGAATACAGCACACACGCCTATCTCTGACAGGTAAGGCTTCATGATTAGAACCGCAACCTTACAGTGGAGCTTCAGATTCTTGTACATTTAAGTTTTATTATGATGATGTATTTTTATTATTATATTTATGGTACAAAACAATTGATATATTATTATGTCATTTAATCTGTATACTCACTGTCTTCTTGGGCTGGCACTTGGTTCTTGATGTATGCAGAGAATTTATGGAAAACATCATTCCCTGCTGTGGTTGATTCCTTGTATTTAGGTGTCATGCTGGGATAACTTAAATGAAAAACAAATTCCATTACCATATTGTAGTAAAGATTTTGGAGCATAAGCAAGTAGGATCCTATGAACATTTAGCCAGAACGTCACCACCTTTACTCTAGCAATATAATGACTCCTTAGTGCACGATGACATTGTAGAGAATGTAAAGGAATGACAGTAGTTTGACTACAGTGCCTTTGAGAGTAGAAATCCTCTGCAGCTACAGAATATCTTTCAGAGAACCCAGATTGCCCTTAGCGACCCCACCTCTATCACCGGGCAGCCAACACCCAATATGTGCTTGTGTAGGTCCACCTCCTGACCATTGTGGCTGGAGGCAGTTAAAGTGTATCCAAACTCAAAACCAAAAATGTAATTACTATATTGCCAAAAGTATTGGGACGCCTACCTTTACATGCACATGAAATTTAATGGCATCCCAGTCTTAGTCCGTAGGGTTCAATATTGAGTTGGCCCACCCTTTGCAGCTATAACAGCTTCAACTGTTCAGGGAAGGCTGTCCACAAGGTTTAGGAGTGTCTATGGGGATGTTTGACCATTCTTCCAGAAGCACACTTGTCAGGACAGGCACTGATGTTGGAGGAGAAGGCCTGGCTTGCAGTCTCCGCTCGAATTTATCCCAAAGGTGTTCTATCAGGTTGAGGTCAGGACCCTGTGCAGGCCAGTCAAGTTCCTCCACCCAAAACTCGCTCATCCATGTCTTTATGGATCTTGTTTTGTGCACTGGTGCGCAGTCATGTTGGAACAGGAAGAGGCCATCCCCCAAACTGATCCCCACAAAGTTGGAAGCATAAAATTGTCTAAAATGTCTTGGTATGCTGACACCTTAAGAGTTCCCTTCATTGGAACGAAGAGGCCAAGCTTAACCCCTGAAAAACAACCCCACACCATAATCCTCCCTCCACCAAACTTTACACTTGGCACAATGCAGTCAGGCAAGTACTGTTCTTCTCACAACTGCCAAACCCAGACACGTCCATCGGATTGCCAGACAGAGAAGCGTGACTCATCACTCCAGAAAATATGTCTCCACTGCTCTAGAGTCCAGTGGCGGTGTGCTTTACACCACTGCATCCGACGCTTTGCATTGCACTAGGTGATGTAAGGCTTGGATGCAGCTGCTCAGCCTAGGAAACCCATTCCATGAAGCTCTCTGTGCATTGTTGTGCTAATCTTAGGCCACGTGAAGCTTGGAGGTCTTTAGCTATTGACTTTGCAGACAGTTGGCGACTTCTGCGCGCTGTGCGCTTCAGCATGCGCTGACCCCACTCTGTCATTTTACGTGGCCTACCACTTCATGGCTGAGTTGCTGCTGTTACCAGTTGCTTTCACTGTTCTAATACCACTAACAGTTGGGCGTGAAATTATTTAGTAGTGAGGAAATTTCACGGATGGACTTATTGCACAGGTGACAACCTATCACGGGACAACACTTGAATTCACTGAGCTCCTGAGAGTGACCCATTCTTTCACAAATGTTTGTAGAAGCAGTCTGCATGCCTAGGTGCTTGATTTTACATACCTGTGGGCATGGAGGTGATCGGAACACCTGAATCCAGCGATTTGGAGGGCTGTCCCAATATTTTTGGTTGTATACTGTATATTGCAGTTTACTTGTCCATGGTCTGGTGGCTGCATTAGTTTAATTCTTTCAAAAGTACCTTTGCTTTATTTTCACCTGGTAGTCATGCAAATAAAACACTTGTTATCCCGTGTTGGTTATGTCACCCCTCCACTGTATTTATGGAGGGCGCCATGGTTATCACCCTAAACTGCTCTCCTAATATGGACTACAAACATGTCCGTATCGCTTCATCTCCATTATATGGGAGGGGGGTCAAGACAATTGGTAGTTTACAGAGAATAGCTAGGAAAGAAGATATTCTTCAGTGCAGCTCACAGAAAGTGACAAGGACACTGCATTTCTGGCATGATCAACCGGTATTTTCAGTATTTGCTGAAAATGTTATTAGCTTGAAAAAAATAATGCAGCCACCACATGTACGAACTATACATTGCAATATATTGCATTTTTGTTCTTGAGTTTACTTATCCTTTAAAGCGGTATAACCCAAAACCAAAAATATAATATGTTGCAGCTTACCAATCATTAGATGTGGTGGCAGCATTAGTTTTCATTCTTAGGCTTTTTTCCCCCTCTCTGTTTTTCCTGGTGATGTACCAAGTAACACATCTCCTGTGCCCCCACTCTGGATGAAGGAGCACAGGGGGCACCTTTGAACAGCAACATTACCAGTCTGGGGGGAGGGGAGTTTTAGATGTGCTAGCAGATTTAGATACACAAACAAATTAAAGCTGAATTCCAGCTAACACATTATAAGGAATTACTGCAAAAGGTTTTTTTTTTTTCCATTTTGGGATTAATGTTTTACTTACATAAATAAAAGCTGATCATTGTAAGCACTCCTGTTAGCGGTAAATGGTTTGTCTCCACCCTCTAACTGCTCCATCCGCAAGACAGCTTGTTCTTTTGAAAAACATGCATGTGCAGCTCAGCTTACAGCATCAGGTTGGTCTGTGTGCCAGAATAATGGCCTCTTGCACCTGTGCAGGAGTGACGTCATCCCACGCCAGCCATTGAAGACGGCTTAAGACTGGCACACAGAAGATGCCGCTGCCTGTGAGGGACCATTGGAAAGGTGAATATTAAAGAATATGCATCTAAATGCAGGACAAAGTGTTCTGGGAGGCATTAAAATTGTATTCTTCTTAGATCATTTCTCCTGGGTTTAGAAAAGCTAAACGCAGGCGTACCAGTGTGAATGGATGCCAGTGTATCAATGAAGAGCACGGGGACAATTGAAAATCCCTTTCTCTGTACCGGTCTCAGTCTCGCCAAGCAGGACGAGAAGCTGCAGCACGCTGCATTTTATAAGCATTTCAACCTCCATATAAACTAGTTATGAGTGTGAAATCTCACGTACATAGGCCTCCAAAGTTCAAGGCTGCCAGTGAGAGAAAATATATCTAAAATGCAGGTTATAAAATGCTTGGAAAACATGTGACACCTGCCATGAGTATAAACAGGATTTAGGGTTCATTTCCACTATATGACATTTTCCAATCTTGATAAATGCAGGTCACAGCTAGAGTGCATAGAAAACAAGTGTTTTCTATGTGACCCATTCACACTACAAGAAGAACAAGCTTCACACTGCTTCCTTCGGCTGCTGACACTCCACTAAGCCTGTATTGTAAAACACTGCATTTTACTGTGCAGGCTGGGTGTGAACAAAGCCTTAAAAGAAGTGGGCAGAGGTTGGCGATTTTCAATAAGATTTCACGTGTTACATAGTACAGTACTGGTACATCCAAATGAAACAAACACCAGTGCTCTAATCTTCATGCACCACATATAAAATGGTAACTGTCACTTGGTGGGGTGCAGCCCTCTAAAGATAGGGGAGTCTTGTTGCTTGCAAAAGAAAACACATAAGGTTGAACTCCCGAAACATGTCAGCAGAGTGCTCCCTTTTGTGTTGTTCTTTTGCTAGCATCAAGACTCCCCTATCTTTAGAGAGCTGCACCCCCCCACCCAGTGACAGTTACCATTTTATATGTGGAGCATTTGAAGCTTTGATAAAAATAAAAGCTTTGAAAAAAAAGCTTTGAAAAAGGGCGTTCAACTCCTGAAACACATCAACGTCAGGAGAGTGCTCCCTTTTGTGTTTTTCTTTTGCTAGCATCAAGACTCCCCCATCTTTAGAGGGCTGCACTCCACCCAGTGACAGTTACCATTTTATATGTGGAGCATTTGAAGCTTTGAAAAGCAAAAGCTTTGAAAAAGGGAGTTCAACTCCTGAAACACGTCAACGTCAGGACAGTGCTCCCTTTTGTGTTTTTCTTTTGCTAGCATCAAGACTCCCCCATCTTTAGAGGGCTGCACTCCACCAAGTGACAGTTACCGTTTTATATGTGAAGCATTTAAAGCTTTGAAAAAGGGAGTTCAACTCCTGAAAACGCGTCAGACTTTCCCACTGGGCACCATCATCATAGGCCTCCAGTTGTGTGACATTGACCCATTTGACTTCATGTTCGTTTTTTACATTCATTTTGTAAGTATCCATTTGTCACATTTTTAATAAATTAATTTGCAACTACGGTAATGCACGAGGATAGTGTGCCCTTTTGTGTTTTTCTTTTGATAGTGCAGTGCTGGTTTAAAAAAAAAAAAACAAAAAAAAACACCTCAACCTGCTATAGATATTGTCAGCCTATTGACCCAGAGGGAGTTTCCAGCGATTAACTGCAGATGAAAGCAATGGGAGGCCGACAGCTCCTGCAGCTAATTGGAGTTGCTTGCATGTAATCACTCAAGGAGCGATTATCTGTGAATGATCAGCCCTGGATAAAAAAAAGAACACGTGCAAACTTGACACTTCAGTGCTCAGAAATTAGCGGGGGCACCCACCGCACGAACCAAATGTCATGTTCTTAACACAATCAGGACTGGAAAGTAATGACGGTGCAACCCTCCTCAGATGGGGGAATCCAACAATGCACAAAACATAAAAAACACAGAGGGTGCAAAACACCTAGCGCAGTAACCTTGACAATTCTATTAGACAACGTAGTAGACAAATATACTCACTAGTCTAGTGAGCTATAGGCATGTGGATGCATAAAGCACACAATGTAAAAGACAGCTCTCCACCTCCACCTGAAGACAGGATGACAAAAGGCGCTGACACGTTTCGCAGACCCAACCCCCTTCTTCAGAGCTATGGCTAATGTCTCTCAACCCTCAATCTCCTGAAATAGCATAAATTCATTGGATAGCCCACCTACCACTGGGGGGGGAGGGGAGAAAACAAAAGGAGGGAGGGAATTTCTTAAAGGAGACACATCCTACTTATTCAATTCCATAGCATGATGCCAGCATATCATTTACAATCCACTGCATACAATCCAAATCAGTAAAAAACATATACTTTACCAATAATAATAGAAATAATAATATTAATATCAGTACTAATAGCTGTCGAATTGAATGTACATAGAGTAATTTCAGTAGGCTGTGTCTCCTTTAAGAAATCCCCTCCCTCCTTTTGTTTTATCGCCCCCCCCCCCCCCCCCCCGATTGTAGGTGGGCTATCCAATTAATTTATGCTATTTAAGGAGGTTGAGGGTTGGGAAACATTAGCCATAGCTCTGAGGAAGGAGATTGGGTCCTTGAAACGCGTCAGTTGCTTTTTGTCATCCTGTCTCCAGGTGGAGATGGAGAGTGGTCTCTTACATTGTGTGCTTTATTCATCTACTGTACATGTCTATAGCTTACTAGACTTGTGAGTATATTTATTGTCTACTACATTGTCTAAGAAAATTGTCAAGGTTAATGCGCTAGCCATTTGCACCCTCTTTTTTTTATGTTTTGATCAGCCCTGGATTCAGACAGCCTATGTCAGACATCTGGCGCATGGCCGATTTTTGGTCCATTCAAGTGCGTTGCTATGGGATGTCTTAAGGCACAGGTGTCAAACTGGTGGCCCTCCAGCTGTTGCCAAACTACAAGTCCCATGAGGCATTGCAAAATTAACAGTTACAAGCATGACTCCCAAAGGCAGAGGAATGATGGGACTTGTAGTTTGGCAACAGCTGGAGGGCCTCCAGTTTGACACACCTGCCTTAAGGCAACACACGTCACTGCAGAAAAAAGGGGCTGTAACACGTGTACACTAACACAACACACTGAAATGGACAGGTCTGAATTGGCCCCTATGGATTTTTCGGCATGTTCCTAGCAGATCTTGATTGGATGGGTATGCTGGCACTAGTAGTTCCTCTGATCTCAGCAACTAGCAGGCCTCCTACCAGGAACTTTGTCTCACCTGGGAGGTACCAAGATCTCCTGCAGAAACTCTTCGATTTTGTTGGTATCAGTTTTGACCTCAGTGTCGTAGAGGAGAAATGGAGGCTGTGACCCTGGGGCCAAATCTTTCAAGACCTCAGGTGCCCTTTGTGAAAAAAAAGAAAACAGATTTTATTCTTTTTAAATAGCAACACACAATACATATCGCAGCATGCAGTATAAATTTATATATGTAACTTATAATATAACTGAATAATATATGAGATACTGTATATAAAGCTATACAGGTACATATACTGCATATATGTATAGTGAGCCTTCACCAGCTGTTTGACATAAAATCTATTGTGGCCAAATACTCATGTGACCTGTGCTATATGAGTGGTACCTAAGATTGACATTGGGTTCAGATGGTGGTCAATCCTGAACCTGAGGGTGGTGGGATAATTGGAGGAACAGTGAAGTGCTGTCACTATCCACTAAAACTAATCAAAGCACAGCCTTCATTTATAATAAAAAGCCATGGAAGACTGCACTGTAAAAGTGCATCAGAAAGGACACATGTGGCTGGAGAATATGCAGGCTGTTACTGCTGACCTCTCCTGAAAATGCCATTTTTCCTGGCTGTCATGATGTTCCAGTTGCTTCAGGAATAACTAAGCAGAGTTGTAACTTGACTTGGAGTTTTTAATAAGTATGATTGTTTTGGGTTAATTACTCAACAGCCCTGAAATGACTAAATCAGCATTATCATGTTTACACATGCATTGTTTTGTTTGCCTTTACAAAATGTTGTCCTTTCCTCACTCTGTAATTAGGGGGTGCTCAAGTCCCACCCTTCTTCTTCTTCATGCTTTAGTCTTCATTCACCACATGTACTGTATTTTGCTGTAGCAAGACAAACTATGATTTTTTTTAACTATCTGATGTTCATCTGTTATGATCTGCACAAGTTTTCAAATAAAAATGTTATGATCTGCAAGATGTCATTTGGATCGCATCACTGTCTGTCAAGCTACTAGACTGTAAGTTAAGCTATCCTCACCATAACTGGATCAGTTAAAGAGATCACACTTTCAGTGCTTAGATTGCTGAAACAGGTCTGACAACCAGTATTCTTAGTATTCTTAGAAGGGGGTTGGCAGTAGCAAGTTCAGAATTACTTCTGGGTCTCCTTGAGGAACATTGACATGTGTAGCATAAGCACATGTTATATCATGCAAAAAACATACTTTGCAATAAGGCAGCTCATTGAAAATAATGGGCTGTGAAAGCATCAAAATGTCTCACAAAATGGACTTGTCTCAAATTTAATGCAAAGCACTTAGCAATAGCAATGCAACACAACAACCCATATAACATGTATTGATGTAACACATGCTATCTTGTAATGCATAGATGTAAATAGGCCCTTTAAAAGATTTGTACCTATCTTCTTTATAAAAAAAGTTTTGGGTTCATCCAATATTAGTTTGTAAGTTCCCTACAAATGAGGGACATGGAGGTGGCAAGAGTGAGGATACTTGTTTGTAAAAAAAAATAAATCTCTGACATAGTATTCAGACCACAATATGGCTGCCTATATGAATGACAGGCATCCTTTAAAGTAATTTCAGACAAAGAGGTGAATACAGTATATATGGGAGCTGGTTTTCCAAATGAGTTTTATTTCTGCTCTTTCAGACCTGTGGTTTACACAACTCTGCCACAGAGCACAGCCCTATCTAGCAAGGAACCTGATCTTTCTGTGCTTCAGTTTCACTTTCATTTACAGGTCCCTGAACCTGTGTTCTTGTAAATGGAAAGTGAAGCAGAACATGGCTGAGCTTTATCTCTGTTACTTCTTACTGCTACTTAGATTACAGCACAGCCGACTGGCTCCTTGTGCTGTTTCTCCCTTTACCAGTGTTAGGTCTGCTGTACAGAGACTGCAAGAGGCTGATGCCAAGTTAGGCACGGACACTGTTTGCATTTAAAAAAATTATGTATTAATAATTACAGAGCTGCAAGCAGTTGTGTGATTTATATTTGGCTGAAGTTCAGGAAGTTTAGGTGTCTGATAATTTAGGATGTAGATGTTTGGCAGAGCAGCGTACCCACCTCTTCATGTCCACTGTGGTCAGGGTGAAGGGACATCCTTTGTGCATGAGGATCATAAATAGCCTTTGGCTGAATGGACAGTTCCCAATACTTTCCCCATCATCGCTGGCCTAAAAGGAGACAGTTATCAGAACATGGTCATAACTTTGCTATATATTCCTTAGTCATAAATTTCTTTCCATCCAGTCCTGAGATTTACACAGCTATGCCAAAAACCTGAATTGTGAATTGCAGATAGGATGTCCTGTCTATGCAATGCAAACTGCACTTTCTACTATGCACAGTTTTTTTCAGTCAGTTTCTGACATTAAAGTATATCAAGAGCCAAAACCTTTCTTTTAGTTTTGATACAGTACCCAGTTGGGCTTTTTTGCCATCTTTGTCTATTGTGGATATTTATTTTCACTTTCACCTGAGGACACAGCAGGAGGGAGGAACCTCTTGACCCTCTCTTTTCTTTTTCCTTTTTTTTTTTTAAATGCTTTTTTTTTACTTGTGGAGGGACAATTCTATTTGGAAAACTGTACTGCAACTGAATGCCAAGTGATTGGCTCATGGTTGTGTTGCAGCCCCAAGAATCTCAATGGGTGGGATTGATAGGTGCTGCTGCCTGTCAAACCCTGCAGCCTGATTTAAAAATGCCGCAGCCATGGCCTGTATGCAGCCTTGTCAGATTTCTGGTGAACAACTGGGTTGTACTGTAGTAAACCACAGCTGAACCACTTGTTTTTACTGACCACCCCTGGCTGCCCATGTGAAAGAGTCCTAAGAAAACCAGAGTGGGTGAATCTTCCCAGTAGGGGTACAGACTGCACCCTATCCAGGACCTTCAAAAACTGTTTGGACTGGAGATACACTTTAACTGCTTCCCGTCCGCCCTATAGCAGATATACTGCTACAGGGTGGCATGGGTGTGCAAAATCACGTATACATACGTGAAATTGCATTTCCAGGTAGGGGGCGTGTGCGCCCTACCTGCGCCGCTGTTCGTGGCCGCAGCTGTCAATCACTGGGTCCCGGCTGGTGATTGCCGAGCATCTCTGACGGAGAGGAGAACTGTATGTAAACAATACAGTTATCCTCTCTGCCAGCTCCTGCACACTGCTTTGGATGGCTGTGAACAGTGAAGCACACACACAGCTTAGTGTGAAACAGCACCCAGTTAACCCTTTGATCTCGCCTAATGTTAACCCCTTCCTGTCCAGTGCCATTAGTACAGTGTCAGTACTTTTTTTTATCACTGATCACTGTATTGGTGTCACTGGGGATGTCAGTGACACCAAGTCAGTTCCCCCCCAGTGTCAGAATGCCTGCCGCAGTCCCTCTATAAGTTGCCGATCACCGCCATTAGTAGTAAAAGTTTGAAAAAAAATTCCAGTATCTATACCATTTGTAAACGCTATAACTTTCATGTAAACCAATTAATTTACATGTATTGGGATTTTTCCTTAGCAAAGACATGTTGCAGAATACATTTTGGCCTAAATTTGACCAAATTTGATTTTTTAACTGGACATGTTTAATAGCAAAAAGTAAAACATATTGTTTTTTTTCCTCAAAATTTAGTCTTTTTTTTTTTATAGCGGAAAAAAAAATTAAAAAAACACACATGCGATCAAATACCACCAAAAATAAGCTCAATTTGTGGGGAAAAAAAGGACGTACATTTCATTTGGGTGCAGTGTTGCATGACTGCGCAATTGTCAGTTAAAATAACACAGCGCCGTAATGCAAAAAATAGCCTGGTTAGGAAGGGGGGTAAATCCTCTGGAGGGCAAGTGGTTAATCAAAGCTGGCATTGTGTATGCAGGGAAGGTGGAAGCTTCAGCTGTCAAAAAAAAAAATCAGTCAATCAATGTTTATGAATAACACTTGCTCAGATGCTTCAGAAAGATACAAGGTAACATATTGTTACTTTTGTATTATTCTGTTCATTCATCAGCAGATCAAAGGGATGAACTTCCATCTGCAGATGTCAGTTGAAGCAACCTAACAAGTAAAGAAAAGTTCCTCCGTTTAACTCCCCATTAACTCTTCACTTACTCTAATCAGCCCTAATTAACTCCTTATTCTCTTTCTCCATTCAATTACTATTTTCCTACCATTTTTTTGTTCTGTTCTATTTTATTAACATTCAATTCTTTTTTTCTTTGTTTTGTTTATTAATATTTTTACACATTCAACATATATTTATACCTTTCACATTTAAATAGCACAAAAAGTATAACTAAAGGCAAACTTTTTTTTACGTTTAGACTTCAGGCCCCTTGCACATGGGTTTATGTTTAAGTACATCTGCGTGAACAGGAATGAAAATCTACCAGTGTATACCCAGCTTAGGCTAGGTTCACATTTGTGCGGGTGGTGCCGCTGTGGATCCGCTTGAAAATCTGTGCAGCCGCACCACCCACACAAAGGAATGCGGACCCGCAGGCAGGTGCCATTAGTTCTAATGGCACGCCGCCTGCACTGGAAATCGCAACCACACTGGGAACCGAGGTTCCCGTGCATGATGAGGTTTCCAGAGAAGTGCAGGAACCTCTTCCCTGCATGTCACGGGCCATCCAATCAAATGAATGGGCTCTCATGCCCGTGCAAAACGGGGCCTGCGCGGCTGCATATATGTGAACCAGGGCTTAAAGAGGATCTTCACCCTGTAAAGAAGAATGTAAAAATCAGCAGCTCCAAATACTGCAGCTGCTGACTTTTAAAAAATGCACACTTACCTGCCCCAGGATCTAGCAATCTCCTCACCCAAACCAGTTCTTTTTCCTGTGTTTGGGTCCAGACACGGCATCTTAACTGAGGGCAGCCTACTGAGACTCCTTGCGGCTTCCCACTGCACATGTGCAAGCCATGCTGCACCCCATGAATGGTCCCACAGTCTCCTGGGACCTACAGTCAGGTCCATAAGTATTGGGACATTGACACAATTCTAACATTTTTGGCTCTATACACCACCACAATGGATTTGAAATGAAACGAACAAGATGTGCTTTAACTGCAGACTGTCAGCTTTAATTTGAGGGTATTTACATCCAAATCAGGTGAGCGGTGTAGGAATTACAACAGTTTGCATATGTGCCTCCCACTTGTTAAGGGACCAAAAGTAATGGGACAGAATAATAATCATAAATCAAACTTTCACTTTTTAATACTTGGTTGCAAATCCTTTGCAGTCAATTACAGCCTCAAGTCTGGAACGCATAGACATCACCAGACGCTGGGTTTCATCCCTGGTGATGCTCTGCCAGGCCTCCACTGCAACTGTCTTCAGTTCCTGCTTGTTCTTGGGGCATTTCCCCTTCAGTTTTGTCTTCAGCAAGTGAAATGCATGCTCAATCGGATTCAGGTCAGGTGATTGACTTGGCCATTGCATAACATTCCACTTCTTTCCCTTAAAAACCTCTTTGGTTGCTTTTGCAGTCTGCTTTGGGTCATTGTCCATCTGCACTGTGAAGCGGCGTCCAATGAGTTCTGAAGCATTTGGCTGAATATGAGCAGATAATATTCCCGAAACACTTCAGAATTCATCCTGCTGCTTTTGTCAGCAGTCACATCATCAATAAATACAAGAGACCCAGTTCCATTGGCAGCCATACATGCCCACGCCATGACACTACCACCACCATGCTTCACTGATGAGGTGGTATGCTTAGGATCATGAGCAGTTCCTTTCCTTCTCCATACTCTTCTCTTCCCATCACTCTGGTACAAGTTGATCTTGGTCTCATCTGTCCATAGGATGTTGTTCCAGAACTGTGAAGGCTTTTTTAGATATCGTTTGGCAAACTCTAATCTGGCCTTCCTGTTTTTGAGGCTCAACAATGGTTTACATCTTGTGGTGAACCCTCTGTATTCACTCTGGTGAAGTCTTTTCTTGATTGTTGACTTTGACACATATACACCTACCTCCTGGAGAGTGTTCTTGATCTGGCCAACTGTTGTGAAGGGTGTTTTCTTCACCAGGGAAAGAATTCTTCGGTCATCCACCACAGTTGTTTTCCATGGTCTTCCAGGTCTTTTGGTGTTGCTGAGCTCACCGGTGCGGTCATTCTTTTTAAGAATGTTCCAAACAGTTGTTTTGGCCACGCCTAATGTTTTTGCTATCTCTCTGATGGGTTTGTTTTGTTTTTTCAGCCTAATGATGGCTTGCTTCACTGATAGTGACAGCTCTTTGGATCTCATCTTGAGAGTTGACAGCAACAGATTCCAAATGCAAATAGCACACTTGAAATTAACTCTGGAACTTTTATCTGCTCATTGTAATTGGGATAATGAGGGAATAACACACACCTGGCCATGGAACAGCTGAGAAGCCAATTGTCCCATTACTTTTGGTCCCTTAACAAGTGGGAGGCACATATGCAAACTGTTGTAATTCCTACACCGTTCACCTGATTTGTATGTAAATACCCTCAAATTAAAGCTGACAGTCTGCAGTTAAAGCACATCTTGTTCGTTTCATTTCAAATGCATTGTGGTGGTGTATAGAGCCAAAAATGTTAGAATTGTGTCAATGTCCCAATATTTATGGACCTGACTGTATGTCTCAAGAGACTGCGGGAGATGGAGAGGAGCGAATTTCTGTCAAAACAAGGTACCTGCTCCCCCCCCCTCCCAAAAAAAATCCAAATATGGGAGATGATGATGGGTGGAGGAGGAAAAGTAGAAATACCCCTTCTGGGTGAAATTTCACTTTGCAGCAAATCTTTATCCAATAAAATATGTTGTTTGCACTTGGCTCCTTTGTCCTCCCTCTCCCACTATTAGTTGAAAAAAAATGTAAGGTTTTATTTAAGTGTTTTTTACTTTTATGTGCGCCAGCACAGCATTTACTCCTTTCTTGCCAAGTTGAGAATGACATTGCTCTCCTGGTGCCATCAGATTCCACACGTACATGCAAGCTTCTGGATTTTGTAGAGCGCTTCAGAAAATCTAGGCATGCGCTGGGGTTCACCATGCATGTGCAAAAGTACCACAGGTTTTGAGGATCTCGAATCTAAGGCTGTCTGCGCATGTGCGGAAAACCATGTGTGTGCACAGATGTGCTACA